GGTGTTCTAAAATAATAAATCTTGAAAAAAAATAAAAAATTAAAAAAAATAAAGAAAAACAAGATAAACGTCCCTGAGCCATTAAGCACAATGATACATTTATACGTTATTGAAAGTGGATGAACGTGAAATTCAAACGATTTTAAGGGGAAAGGAGATGGTTTACTGATCAAGTCTATGGATGGTTTAGCCAAAGGATGATAATTTATTGCATGTTTTGTTGCACATGTACATTTAAAACTAGCGAGGCAATTTTAATATTAATTTTTCATTTTTCAAACTAGCCTCTATAATCTTAATAAAACAGGGAGGATTTAATCAAGCAATGTAATCAGAGATAATATCTTCAATATTATAAATCGCAAGTTTTCTAAGAATTGCTTTTGTTTTATGATTGAGTATTATAATATGTATTTCTATATTGCATTGTGTGGTGTTATGTAGTTAGAATAATCGATTTTAATACTGTTTCCATAGCATACGTATATTTAATGATTTATTTATTGTTTAATTTTCTTCAAGTATTGGATCTGGGTATTTTAGTTTATTTCATATTGCATTTAAATTCATGATCAGATTTATATGTTTGCAAAGAACAAACAAATTATATTGTAGCTAGTTGACACTCAGTGTAGTAGTCGAGTACTTTTCCACGAGTACGAAAACTTTGCCATTAGTACGAGTACGAGTACCAGTAAATTTCCATGGGTACACATATTCCTCAGTACTTTTCACACATTAAAGAAAAACCAGATAGTTCATGAATGTAACAAAGGTGAACCTTTTTATCAAACCCAACTAAATTTACCAAATTGGACAACTTAATTCGATTTAATTAAACCACGAAGTAAAACTTTTTAAGTGAGAGCCATGGAGCACTTTGATATGTTTTACTTTAAGATAAGTATGACTGGAGTCACGCATTTGATAGCAAATATTTCAGGACAAGAGTGCATGGGCGTTGCCAGGATGGATCAAAGGTGTTGCAGTTTCAGTGGGGGTGGGGTGGGCTGGTCAAATGTCCCCCCTCCCCGCCCACCCTGGAAAAACTGATAAATTGAGAATATGCTAGAGAAAGTACAAGGATTTGTGGAAATAATGTGCTTTGCCCCCTCATGAAAACTATCCTGGCGATGCCCATCAAGAGTGAGATAAGATTCGAATTAATAACCATTTTGAAAGGGGATCCCTCCAAAACATGGCTAAATTGCGCCACCTTCGGACCTAATTGCATCCATGGATGCTCAGAAGAAGAAAAAAATAGCAAATTTCATTTTAAGCATTAATATATTAAAATCTACAATTTGCAAACGAAAATATCTGTCCCATCTTCACTCTCAGAGGCACGAAAAAAAAATCACCGTTTGGTAGGGATGATATTTTGCGCATTTGCACAAACTAAATGGCACCCACGCATAGACGTGACAACTCTTTATGGTTGCAGACCAATAAATAAACAAAGACCTCAATGACAAATACTCCCATTAAAAAAATAAGGATAAAATGCTGACAACTCTCCGAGGTGTTTTTTTTTTATAGATTCATCCAAAATAAAGCTTATGTTATCAATTTTTTTTATTCAAATTTTAAGGGGTAATTTAATGACTTTTGGGAGTAATGCCAATTCAAACAAATGATCACCCCTAAAAGAAGTCCTGCAGCCCAGCGCTATTCTGAGAAGCAATGATCGCAATGTAGATTGGTCGCTCCCATGTAGACTTGCTCCCAGTCTACACGGTCCATAGTTCATACCATAAAACAAAGAATCTACATTAGCCCGTTCAATACATTGCAGGCTACTATACTCGTTACTTCATATTAAAGAACAACATAACAATTACGTCATCCCTGGACTTGTCAAGCAAGGAAGTAGACATTCACCCAGTCGCTACTCCATCTTGTCGCAATATCTCGATTTAAAAGAAATCGGCAAACTACTCGGCAGGATCAACTCTCACTGTGATTAAAACACACTTCAAATTAAAGCTTGATTTAGGGCCTCCCCTTTTTTTCTGTATTTTTTTGGAACGGTGTTGACCCATGATATTTGAAATGTTTCATCCAAAGTGGACCACCCCTATAAGCAGTCCTTTTGAATCTTTATTCCTCCACCCCATAGTCTGGTTCCCAGACCAAAAGATTCTGACTATTCCTGATGAATCTTAGGTCAGGTAGCTTCCATTCATACATTGTATTAAAATTTACGTCACGTGACTAAAACGGGAGGAATTCCTCCTTTTTCCGAATATGTCCAAAGTTGCCGAATTCGTTTTGTCGACAATCGGACAGCTCCCGAGTATTTCCGAGTATTATGCAGGTTGTATTAACTGCTAATTGCTCTTTTAAAACTAAAAGAAGTGAATTGATAATTAATATTCATTGCTTTTATTTAGAAAACTTGAACTTCAACGACGATTTTGTATCATCAATATTCGGATTGTATATGAGGGGCGAACTTTTTGCTGCGTCATGTACTATTTTGAATTTGACGACCGTTGCCGGGATTTTTCAAAACTCGGCGTGGTCTCCATAATATTCAGCTCTGACTGCTAACAGTGATATTTGGGTGCATATAAATTTGGAAGATTCCAGGTCAACATAAGTCAATGTTTTCTTACAGAAATATCAAACTGTATTTTCATAACTGTAGGATATTATTAAGCAAGTGATATTTAATAATTTGATCGGAGCATTAAAAGCCATAAGTGATAAACGAATTCGGAAATAAAGCCGAGCTTTGAAAAAAAGCCACGGAGGCTGGCTGACCTGCAATTTGGACGTGAGCGTCGGGAATAATTGTTAGGTCCGGGAACCAGACTTTCCACGCCATTGCAAAATAGAGCGACTTTTGGGTCCAGTTTTATCCAATTTATTACATAAATGCAAGTACAAAAACCGGTACAGAGCTGGTATCATTCATTCTTCCAACTCTCAAGAGAAAGGAGCCACAAAACTCATTACTAAGGAAAACAATTGATACTAATTATGCGAATCGTTATTTGGCCGGCGTAGACCTTTTTGCCGTCTAATTTGCAGCCCTCTCATATGACGTCAGGTTCAAAATTCAGCTCTCTGTAACAGTTCTTGGTGCGCTTGAAAAGCATTTCTGTGACGCAGTTAGAAATGAGTGACTTGAACGCTGGCGGCTGCGCCTGGAACTGAGGTACTTAAGTGTCTGAGACTGCGACTGTGAGGGTTCTAGTCGGACAAGGTATCAGAGAAAAGCATTTCGTAAGTACCATCTTTTTGTATTGGGCGAGTTGGATTAAATCTTTACCGAACAATTGACTTTTATGCGGGAAAAATACATTAGCATGAAAATGTGACGGAGTTTGGCCACACAACCACTCCCTGCTGGGACCACAGGTGAGGGATGAAATGTACGAAACGAATTATATTTAGAGGGCTGAAGTTGTCACATTTCCCCAATCTCGCCGATATTTAGTTGTTTCCTTATACCTTTATTCATAATTTTCTAAGGGAATATCATGTTTAAACATTGAGCAGGCGATTGAGGCGTTCAACGGAGTAAAGCAATGTGCTGTAAGAGGGCAAGAGGAACCAATGCTTTACGGATAGGAAATAAATCACCCGAATAAACAATATACTCCTTGACAGATTGGCTTTTGAAACCCGAAACCAAAATACTCTTTCCTGCTCATCCTCGTTCTCACGAATGTCCCATTTCGCTTACTCTTCAATAATAAATACCAGAGATTACTAGTGGTAGGAAAATCAACTAATGGTAGGGAGTATATTTCTGGCAAAACAATCAATATCCATCGACCCTCTAAATTTATTTTTAAATTTTTAATCGGGATATTTGGAGTTCTATTTTTGGGATAATTGGAAATCCCATAGTTATTAATGGATATGTTTCAATATGGAACTGTTTTCAGACGATAAACAAACACGTACTTTGTATTGGTGCGATGATAAGACCAAAAGGCCGACAAACGCAGTAATTGCACATTATAGTATGAACCTAAATCATTACTAACACGTCACATAGGACGCTGTTGTTTAGATAACTTTTGCACTATTTCACGTACGTACCATTAATGCATATTACATCTGCATGGTAACGATTATTGAGTCAATGACAGCTAAAATATATACTTTTTCCATCTGTCCTTTTTTTTCTAATTAGTTTAATCGTATAACTACAGTAATGAGTTGTTGAAATACATGTCCTTGTTTGTTTTCAGTACTCCACGACCAGATTTTTTTTTTTTGATTTTTTTTGGGGGGGGATTTTTTTTTTTACCTACCTGCGTCATCAGCGCCCTTCCCCTGAGTAGTCTGGTTCCAGATCCATCAGGAATAGTCAAAAATAAAAAAAAAACAAATCAAAAAACAAAAAAACCCCAAAACCCCAAGATATTCCTAAAAAAGAAGAAGACGTTTCCCCCCCCCCTCAAAAAAATTATTTTCAAAAGGTCCTAAAAATAGATTGCGCAGCGCCGCCTTTATGTAACCATTGACCAAGAAACGGCACTTCGCTATGGCCTGAAATCGTTCTTGTACATTATGGACATGAAGTACGGCAATGCCCGCGTAACAAATCTTTGTTGTGTCAAAAAAAAAATCCTAACAAAAAAACTTTCCTCCCCCAAACAAAATAAAATCCCCCTCCCCCAAAAAACTTCCCATACAAAAATTTCCCCCCAAAAAAAACCTTTCCAAAAAAAAAAAATAAAAAAAAAAAAAATGTTGGCACCAACGGGCTTTTGTTCCTTTCTGCCATCTTGAAAATTAAAGTGAGTCATAAAAGGTTTAGCGCACTAATTGAAGCGAGAAATTCTACGCGAGCTCATTAGCATGACAACTTTTCTGAAAAAAGAAAAGAAAAGGGTGGGACTGTATAAACACAGTCGAAAATCAACTTTCTGGTTTTTTGGGCTTCCATTTGAGAGCAGATTTCAATTGATAAAATCATGGTGGAAAGAAAAGAAATGGGTCCTATTTGCCTGAGAAAGTCCATAGATGCCATTTGTAAAATGGTTACAAGCACCCTTGGGAAGTATCACTTTTCGGAAGGTGAGTTTGTTTTCGTGTGAATATTTCAAAATGTAATTGGCTAATCCCCCTACAATTGAAAAGGAATAGACAGATGAAGAATAAGACAATAATTTAATTTTTGTTTGAGGAACCCTAGTGATGTCGGCTTGCATGTTATTTGGCCCTAAACTTTGTTGATTTTACACTATTTTCAATGGACTTGAATTTATTTTATTTATTTATTTATAGTTTTATTTAGACAGGGTAGCCTCATTAGTTAAAAACTGCTATTACTGAGGGCCCATTATAAAATGATAAGAATAAAATGAAATAAAAAGAAAAACATTATGTAAGGCCAAAAAAAAAAGTCTCCGGTTTCTGGTATGGAGCTTGCCCCAAAAGTGGTGCGGCGACGCGGCTTTTTTTTTTTTTACCTGTTTTTTTTTTTTTTTTTTGGCTTCAAATGTCGGCTGATGACTGCAAATGGTGCCCGACTAAACTTAGTGCAAATATATGGGAGTCCAGAGAGGCCACATAAATCTTATTCTCGATCATAACCCCATCTAAAAACATGTTAAAATTGTGCAGCAGCAGAATTCCAGTCAAACCAGTGAGTTTGGCGGTTTTGAAACATCCTCTTGTATTGAAAAAAAAAACTTTTTCATTTTGCCGACGCGCATGGCTACGGCGACGCGCGCGCATACCAGAAACCGGAGACCTTTTTTTTTTGGCCTAAAATCACTAAGAACATTAAGTAAAAACTAGAATGAAGAAACAAAAATGCAAATATGTAAAATATAGGGGTGAGAATACAAATATAAGAACAAGTTTAAACACTAAGATACACATATAAACACAATGAAATGCAACACAGAAATTAAATTTAACATAAAAACAAGAATAAGTTCAGTGCACCCGGCATGACGTCAACAAACAAACACCTGTTTAATAGGTACTTACATTTAGGATTATACCTGTAAATTGATATTCATGGGTACAATTATAGTTTTGTATGCCAAAGCAAACGTATATGGACAAAACAGTTAGAATAATAGCATTGAATAATAGGGAAAGGTTTAATGAAAGAAACAATTAGGAGGCGTATCTAAGCATGCCTAGTCGGAGGGGGGGGTGCATACAGGCTACAACTCCGATAGCCAGGGTGAGCTTACCTCCAGGTAAGTTTTCATGGATACACATATTCCAGATACATGGCCGAACTTGGGGTATACTAGAATGATTTTCCCCTTTTTCCTAACATACTTTAATGTTTAATAAACAGCACGGCGACAAGTGCGCGTCTACTCATCGCAGTAGTTCGGCGGTCCTTTTTTCTCCACCCCTCGCATTTTTCGCCACAGTATCAAGGATTTTGTTATCGAAAACAGGCGCTTTTAAGATCTTTGCCCAAACAGCTGGTAAAATGATTGCAACCATTGCATGCAGCTGCCCTTTATCCCAAGTTGTTTTCCTCTTTAACTGCAAATTCTTTCCTTTCAGATGAGCAACGCATGGACGGAGGTGTTCGAGCAGGTGTTAGCCTGCTAACCACGTCTGCAGAGCAAATGCTTGCGAACGCCTACACAGTCCGGGCCTGTGCTGTGAAGGTGGTGAACCGTACACAGTGGAAACTAAAAAGTGCTGCGGTAAGGAACACACTCATAAAAGGTCAATGGAATATTAAATGGCTCTATGCCTTAATACTGCTAACCGCTGTTTATTTTGATTCATATAATAAAACAATCAACGTTGATATCGCGATTTTAGCTTTTATTTACCTGTCATAGGATTTGCCAACTTGTTTCCTAATTAAAATGAAGTAAACCGAGCTAACGGGATCGATTGGCCGGTTCGAATCTGATGTACATAGCCACGAGTACCGCAATAAACTATTCATAAATACCTCAGACAGTTTAGCCATTCCTATTGGTCGAGAGCCCGTCACGTGGCCGGTATTAAACGGATGATAAAGACATGGCTAGCTGGTCTTAAACACTTTTCCAGTGTCACAATAAAATATAGACTCCTAAAAATCCAGTGCCTCTTATCGTTTCATTGGTTGAACGTTCACAATCCTCACGTAGGCATGCGCAACACTACCAGGGAGTTAGAATTTTATAGTTCTAAATTCAAAACACAACGCGCCAGGTGCGTTCTGCGCGACATCGCGTAGAACATGATACGCGCGCGTCAATCTCCATAAAAGGGTTGTTTTCATCTTACTCGCCAGCTGAACACTCCATTATTTTGCAGGAGGGATGTTTCAAAAAGCATAAAGTGAATTTGTTGAACAAAATCGGGATGTTTTGAACGAAGTATATGATTTTTTTTTACCGAAAAGGTATTTATGAATGGGAATAAATATGTACTCCGTCGGTATTTATCACTCTGTTTAATACCACTTAGAGTCTGGGTGCTGATAATTACCCTCGCCTCCGGCTCGGGTAATTATCAGCAGCCAGACTCTAAGTGGTATTAAACAGAGTGATAAAAACCTCCGGAGCACACATTTATTCCCTTATTATAAGATGGAATTTTTGCGTCGGGGTGATATAAATCAAATCAGGTTTTGCCCTTCACCGACGTTTAAACACTGTATACTCAGTGTTTTACCTCCCGAGAGAAAGTTGGTAACACATCTGCACTAGAAAGCAGGAGGTCGTGGGTTCGAGTCCCACCCGAGTGATTTTTCCAACTTTAAAATAACATTAATGATGAAAAATGTGGCGAAATTACTTCACCAATGCTTAATTACCATGCACTTCATTGGGTGAACATGCAACATTTCCCCCTCCAGCCTCGTGTTGGTTACAGTGATTTGAATGGGAACAAATCAAATGGCTGAACACGATAATGGTCTATTCGTCCTTTACAAAATTCTAGAACTCGACACAACATTTTCGGTGAACTAAGTTAAAGTTGCTCTTTTAAAATACTTTCTTTTCCCCCAAAATAGATCTTCATCAAAGGTGGACATTCGGTTACGGCTCAGCACGATGTGTATCCAGGGACGGCTGAAGCCTTTGTAGCTGAAAAGACCGAGGGAACAGCGACCAGCACTTACGGGACTGTGTCCTTTCAGGTGGAAGGGCTAGCCCGACCTCAGTACATTAATATTATGTGGTCGGTCCCATTTCGTCGTTTCATTAACTCGAACTGGCTCGGTGTTGAAGTCTCTCAACAGTACGGGAAAGAGGATTTTAACCGTATGTATTATAAGCCAAACAGCCAGATGCATTCGGCCACCCGTGAATTTAGGGGTCAGTTGCATCCATTGACCGTGCAGACCAACGAATTGATTATCACTGGTACCATGGGGGACGGTGCGAAATGTGAAGTCTGTATTGACGTGTCGGAGGCTCAGGCAGTGGCAATTGATGAGGGTTGAGCTAACGTCATCTGGCTAATTGTGCAAATGTTTGCCAATACTCAGACACACACGTTTATGGGTGTAAATCGAGTGGGGTTTTTTTGTTCCTCTTTCCTTTCACTTTTGCCTTTTTACAGCAGCTCTCATTGGTTTTGTACACGTTTTCCAACCGAGGAGTCCGCGATTCGGTTTCTGTCCTCGATTTACCGATGTTGTTGCACGTGTGTGTCCTCGATTTACACCATAAAAACGCGCACCCAGACACCCAAGCGTGTATTTGCCTGCAATCGGGGACCCCCTATTGTCCCTTTTTTTGTTTGTACTAACTTTCTAGGAAGACCTCCCATATGTTTGTACAAGAATCCAAATTGGGGACCTCTTGGGAATTAGGGACCCTATTGTCCTCTATTGTTCAACGTCCCCTATTGAAAGCAGAACTCCAGCAAACCTCACACAAATATACCTATGGGGTAGACCCTTGTTTCCCTTCTTTTGGTTTCCTTTGTTCCTATTGAAATCTGAAACTCCATAGAGATTCTCTTATGGGGCAATTGTTCCATTGTTTTTCCATCCGGTGGAACACCAGGCTGGCTACGGACCTCACGAGTAGGCCTAGTCAAGCCTGTATATGCTGTTACATGAAAAAAAATGAAATCAGTTACACCCAACATATTTTCTTGATAGATGAAAGTTTAAATCCTGAAAGATGTGTACTCTATGCTCTTTGAACCCGCACAAATGAACCCGCCCTGCGACAGCCGATTAATCGTTGGGTCGCAAATAAGTAAACGTGGGTGGATTTTTTTTTTTCGTTCGGTAACTTTTAAAATAACATGACACAAAAAGATATATATTTTTGACGGGTGAAACTTCGATGTGAAATAGTACCCAGGAATGAATCTTTAACAATATCAGATCCATTTAAATAATTTCATAATTTATCTGTTGTTTAAAAGACAGAGAAACTGTCATGGAACTCCCAATGCTCACACAATACAGAAAGCTCACATTAAATTGCGCTTAACCAAAAAGCTTGGAAAAAAACAACCAAAAACCCCCGACTAACTTCCCTGTCGTATTATGCGCAATAATACAATTTAACAGGTTTTGGAAGTGGATTAAGATGTAACTACATTTCTTTAAGGTGAAACTGGAATTATTGTTAAACAGGTTCATGGATGTCATTTGGCAAACCTAAGGATAATTAATTATTTCATGTTTTTTTTTTTCATTTTGTAAATACCTTTCACAATCGAAACTGGTCAAGCAAGGAAATCAGAAATTATATTTTGAATATTATACATCAACAGTTTTCTGATAATTGCCTTTGATCAATGATTGGGTTTTGCCCAGTAGTAAAATTATAATGTACATTTTGGTAATGCATGTGTATTGATTGTTGACACTGAAGAACATTATGATTCAATTCGGAATATATCGATGCAAATACAATTTCTATGTTTAACGTAATATTTTATATATTGTTAAATGTTTTATTATAATTCAGTAAGATTCATACTATTAGTAGCATATTTCAATGTAATTCCACGATTACATCAATACATTTGCAAAGAGTGGGAAATGATGTTGTAGCTAGTTGTCCAGTAGATCAGTTATTATAACGACGAAATATGTAAACGTATCTTAATTGAGATTATCATTAGATGAAGGAACGATGCGATATGCAGACATATCCTGCGCAGACCCATACTTTACTGAATCTTGCACCCATTTGTTGACCTGAGATATGATGTATCCGCCTAGTTTTGCTGTGGGTTTTTGTTTTATTAACAAGCTTTATTTACCTTTAGTGGAAAAACTATATTCACGAGAACAAAAATAATAAATGTTCGATTCTCAAATTGAGCTTACTCTTTATAAAATGTCTTTATTAAAATAAACAAACGAAAGAATTAGTGTTAGCATTAAAGAAGGATCGACAACACCGAAATCCCCGTGCAATGTGCCTAGAATATTGAGTCTTACCCAGATTAAATCAAAAGAAACAAGCGATAAGTTAATGAATAAAAAACAAGATAAGAAAAAAAGTGAAGAATAGTTATTAATAGCGAACTACATACCTTCTACTGAAGATATTAAGGGGATGTATAACGAAATGGAACACAAAAATTATGATAACATTGTGTGGCTTAAGACGAATTTAATTGAGCTAAAAGCATTAGGTCCTATATGAGAACCCGCTATTGTTATTATTAATTTAGGTTTTCCCGGCTATTTTAAAACACTTTTCATCCAAACATTCAATTTCGTGCGAAAAAAAAATTCACACGCTTTTAACAAAACCGATTTAGTCATTTAGTATTCAATTTCATAGTTTGGCCACAATCTTTAGTCACCGGCTCCATAAAATTTAATATTCGTCATTACAAATCGTCTAAGCTGTTGCCGAGTTGCAGAATTCAGGGATCGAATTAGTCTCATATAAATCAATTAGACGAATTTGATTTCTGAAAAACTAGGTTTGACGAGACGAAATCGAATACTCCAGGACGAAAGCGTGAATTCGCTTGAACTGAATTTGAAATAGTCTGATAAAAGACCTAATTTAACATTGGAAGTGCACTAAATCGATGTTGATGGACGAATTTAAATATTAGAAACGGTGAATTCCAATGATAAACGTTTTAAAATAGCCGGGGAAACCTATAAATAAACACGATGGCCTTTTTTTCAAAGCTCGGCTCCGTTTCCGGTTTGGCTTATCATTGAAAACATTTAACGTTCCGATCAATATGTGTCACTTACTACTTGATATTTTACTTGATTACTAACTTGATATTTTAGTAACATATTGACTCATGTTGATTGTTGAGCTAGAGTCTTCAGAGTTATAGAGACCCAAAAAGCAGGCGAAGCCGAACTGGAAGCGGTGCCGAGCTTTGTAACCGTAGTCAGATTAAAAACATAGGTTTTTCCCTGCAATTTAAAACATTTTTCGTTCGATTTCACCGATTCGTACAGTCAAATTCTTCCAGGAACATCGATTTACATGTAGTGCACTTCAAATGTTTAATTTCGTCTTTTGTCGGACTATTTCAAATTTAGTCCATCAAATTTAAACAATGAGCACATTGAGTATTCCACCCTGAGTATTCGATCTCGTCTCGTTTGCGCCGAATCGTGTTATTCAGAAGTCAAATTCGTCTAAATGATTTATATATGACGAATTTGATCTCTGAATGCTGCCCATTTGGCAACAGCTTAGACGAATTTGATCAGCAATAACGAATATTCTCGACCCGGTGACTAAAGCGGTTGACCAAACTTTGAAATTGAATGGTTAATGACTAAATTGGTTTTGTTCAAAGCGTGTGATTGTTTTTTTTGTGGACGAAATTAAATAATAGAGTTGGTGAATTTGAGTGAAAAATAGCCGGGAAAACCTAAAGTACATTACCCAGCAAAGATTGCTCCTCGTACGATCCAAGTGCATACGTGATGCATGAAGTCGTAAGTGAATGCCATCTTTTTACGTAAGCAACGAATATTAATCATCAATGTATTTTTCACATTTTTAATAAGCCTGACCAGAAAATATATATTTTTTTACCCGGGCACTATCCGATATTGTCGACGAAATGTATTCAGCAAGCTTCGGACATTTTTGGAAACGGGAGGCATTCCTCCCGTTTTGGTCACGTGCCGCGCATGGCGGTTACCTGACCTTAGTCTGACTTCAAGAACAAAGATTCCGACTAGTTACGAATAAGCTTAGATAAGGTAACCGCCACGGCTCGTGACCAAAGAACAGTAGGAATGCATAATTTCCGTTTCTGCGAAGTGTCCGAAGTTTGGCGGATGCATTTCTTCGACAATCTCGAATAGCGCCCGGGTATTTTCAAAAAAAAGGCCAAGCTTTGAAAAAGGGACATCTTGTTTATGTTAAGCCCTGTGGCGGTTGCCTGCCCTACAGTGTAGACGTCAGGGCGTCGGGGAATTGTCAGGTCAAGGAACCAGGAACCAGATTAACCTGACCTATATAAGATTCATCATAAATATAGGTTTTCCCGGCTATTTTAAAACGTTTATCATTCGAATTCACCGTTTCTAATTCAAATTTGTCCGGCAACATCGATTTAGTGTACTTCAAATTATTATTTTCGCCTTTTGTCAGACAATTTCAAAATCAGTTCAAACAATTTCAAACAATGAGCACACGATTTCGACCCAGAGTATTCAGTATTTTGTCTCGTCTACGCAAAACCTTGGTATTCAGACATCAAATTCGATCTCTAAATGCTGCCATTCTCGACCCGGTGACTAAAGAGGGTGACCAAAATTTTAAATGAATAGTAATTAACTAATTTAATTGGTTTTGTTAAAAGCGTCTTAGTCTTTTCGTGGATGAAATTGAATGATAGAGTTTGTGAATTTGAATGAACAATCTTTCAAATAGCCGAGAAAACCTATAGTAAGAATCGTTTGGTCTGGGAACTAGAATACCCTATTTCCTTGTTATTTCATTCGTGTGTTGCACTCACGCGGAGTGCATTGATTTAAACCCATGCCCTCCAACATAGGTGCAGACCTATATAATTTTGCTATTAGAGCATTTTGTGGACCATGGACTTGAACTTTGTAAACTAAGATGGGTGGAAGCCGTGCACGGGAGCGCAAGCTCGTACTATTGTGTAATTCGGACGAAATTGGGCACCAAAATTACTCTGTTTGGTAATGGAGCGCAGACATAATTTTTTAAAAGGGTGACTACTTTTAGGAGTGATTATCTTCGGATCGAATTTTCTCCCAAAAGTCATCGAATTACCACCCGAAAATTGAACAGAGAATGAAAACACATGAATGTTTATTCTACACTGGTTGGGGTCATTGGGTTATCGTGATGTTCACGACTGCAACCAAGGTACAAATAAATAACTATCGACTGTGTCAACTCACAAAAAGAAAGGAAATTGCATGAACGCAACTCTTGTAACCAGAATAAAGGCTGGACTCTAACCTGCTAGAAATCACAGAAATACGAGGCTACTAACGGTGCGAGTGCATTAATTATTCGTCTGATTCCGACGCTCTCAGGCACGCGCGAAGTACGCTGCGTCATGAAATGAGTAAGCCACAGTTATGCCATGAGATTTCCAAAATATTATGTTTTCTCTTTGCTATGGCATACAATATCAACGATAGTAAAAAAAAACCACTGCATTAATTATCTACCAATCATTTAATCCAGTTGAAAAAAAGGGGAAAAATCGCCGTGTAACACAATATACTACAATTATATCTGACATTATAAACCATATGCGTGGGTTTACAATTATTTACAACTTGAGCGTTTCATTAAAACAAAAAGTCATGTAAATACAATGGGAAGAAACGATTCATTTACAAATTTTTATTTTTCAACGACGGGGGTCTGAACTCTCAACCAATTGAAGACCAATTACTGGTGCTCTGCCAATAGGAGATCGCAGTTCTCCTTCTTGTCACCATTGAGTTGGCAACACTAACTAAAGCATAGCTGCCTTGATCTTTGTATGGATACTGTGCTCTTGGACTTTGTATTGCGTCTTTATTTACATAAATCCCAAATATTACACTAACACTCCAAGCCCTTTTCTGAAATTATATAAAATTGGAAAACGAAGTAGTGATTTGCATTTGTGTATAATTCTATATGGCTCAGAATAGAAACCTTTGAAACACGATTGGGCCGCAACTTTCTGGTTTATTTGAAAGGGAAAAAATGATCTGAACTTCGTTAGTTCACTTTTATCTTCTGCTGCTGCTTGCGGTTGCGACACACAATCCAAATAAACCCCTTGCAGCCTAGAAGCAACACACCGAGCACACCGAACAAAATGGCGGCCAGGAAGGCGTACACGTCCAGCAGGTGGTACTGGATCCAGCTGAGGTCGGCCGCGCGAGGGCGCAAGTACTCCCCACCGTACCTGCCCACGTGGGCGATCCAGTGGGCTGCCTTCTCGGACGGGATGACAGGATCGTCGCGCAGTAGGCGCGAGATGTTTTGCGCCCTCTTGCGATATCTATATCGGAAAACATAATTTGAAGAAAACTAATGAAACACAGGAAACGATGAACACATCGGTGACCAGGTAGGTAAATGTTAATTATTTGACAGACTTGGATACCTTGAATGCTCTCTGAAATGGCAATTGCCCTTTCTGATATATACACTACCAGGATGATTGACAGAGGGCCTTATGCAACTAGCTCTCACGTCGAGATGCGAGAAGGGTTTCTCATAAAAATCACTTATAGAAGGGTTTCTCATAATCATCACTTTCAGACTTTAACCATGGCAGCAAAAAAGGAGTCTAAAGAAAATATTATGCGCGGGAACTGCTCCAATTATCAGAGGGGAAATACCACCAATGTGTCTACGATCTTCCTAAAGAACCTCTTTATTTGTTTAGTAGGTCTAGCGGAACGACGACCACTTACGGTCTCAGGACCGTTATTGAGGAGATACACAGTTCCCGTCAGCACCATGTACATCCCAATCCTGCTCTCGCTTTATGACTTCTCGTGATGTTTTAGTCTCACTAAATTATGTGCTAAAATGGCCCATACAAAGTTGTATCGCCTCATGGGATAGACATAATTTGTGGTTTGACCCTCATCTGGCCATATGACCCTTGGTGCTTCAAAATGGACAAATACTACGCTTAAAGTACAGTATACTTTTTCTTTAATAGCTGCCTTGTTGCAATCAGGTACCAGGGATGAGACAATGGGTACATACGAGTTGATAAAACACGGCAGAGGGTCATGTAACTTGTATAGTAGTCTCGTATTATCATATGCATATTTCAATTCAGTCATCGGACTAAAATAGCGGCGCACTTTGACGAGGCGCTGATGTTACAAACCTTGGGTCATCAATAACGCGAGCGACCGTGTCGTAGAGGGCGTCCTCTGTCAACGTGGCGATGTCCAACTGCAAAGCCATCCCCTTAGCGACTGCTCGCTCCATGTTGTCGAAGTGGTCACCGAAGAGGGGTATACCGACCATGGGTAGGCCGTACCAAGCCGCCTCGTACATGCCGTTCAACCCGCCGTGACTCAACAGCGCCTTGGTGTTCCGATGAGCTGAGAGTGTGAAGGGGGAAATGCTCGTTAAGAAGTTATGAATATATAAACTGAAGGATGTTAGAGACGCAGGATTTTATTAAATTCTTCTGCGCAGTTAACTGCATTTTAGTACACGACATGGAAGCTTCAGTGTAGGCCTACATAAGGATTAATCGAACAATCGATATCGTTTATTCTTGATTTATGATGCAGTGGTTAAAAGTCCGGTAGATGGCGTTAATAACGTGAATGAAAATGGCCCATCCTACGAATTGGCACCTTGCCTTTAACTTCTGACTTTACTTTCAGCTCACTCATTTGGTGCCCGGGATATGTGAAGTAATCTCGGTCGTTAACATATACACATGTAGATACATTTGCTGGTGCCACGCACGATATAAAGAGACAAATGACCCGTGGTGCAGTTAGCGTTCATAGCGCCTTTTTGCATTATCAGAATAATTACATGTATTGTTATGTTAATGTAGAATTTAAGGTACAGATACAGTTGCCTGAAGGCGGGACAAAGATTTTATTTGACACAATTGTGTGCAGATAACGCATCTGCCTGTATTTCCTGACACTTTAACTGTGTACTGGATTCCTCAAAGTTACTGATTGAAATAAATGTGACCGGATTTTAGGGTTTTATTCAAATCCGGCAACTATAATTAATGTTTGGATAAACTGCACTGCATCGCATCATATAGCTGCCCCATCGCATGCTTGAAAACCAGCTCCAAACTGAAATTGGCCGAACCACTTGTGTGGAAAAAATCAGCACAAACCCACCCAGTATCTTCTGCTGTGGCATCCATTGTACAACCTTTGTGTTGTTCCCGATTTGCAAATGCGACAGGCTGCCAGGGAACTGCCAGATGACGCGCTGCTTCAGCTTGGCCAATCCGTTGGCAAACATCTGAGCCTGCGCAGTTTCCATGTCGTTCACGTGACCGCCAAGCGTAAACAGGACGACGCCCTCGTCGGCGGCATCGAGGAATTCCTGCTGATCCCTCGGTATCTAAGTGCAGTGACAAAGACAGTTTTGTGCTAAAATGTGGCGTTCTTCAAACAAGCTTCTATAAACAGCATGAGGCTTGCGATCCAGTGGATAGGCGTCAGCACTCGGTCTGGCATAGAGTATGAATGGGTAGTACCCAGGAGTATGAACGGGTGCATGTGAGGGTAGAGGACCGAATATGCACTGATATCGGCTGTGCTGCCGCATTGTCTCGTGGCCTAATGAACAGGGCAATAACGAGATATATAAGATATATAAGCATTTTATTTAAATTATTATTCTTATTATTTTTATTTTGTAGAGGTTTGTGGGATCCAGCTCCATGTTTTTAATAGGCACTAATCGCTTGGAAGTTGGAAGACAAGGAACACTTATAGTCTTTTAACGAAACATCAATGAAGAAAAAACAAACGAGAAGCATCCTTAGGCCTCTCTGCATGCGGCAAGTTTGAAAGAAAAACAGACAAATTGGTGTACAATGTGCAGAGAAAAAAAACACGGTCCGCTTGAGGGACATAGCATTAACTGGTGTTTTGATGCGAATGTATTAAGAGCCGACAATAAGGCTCGGACCTATTTTAGCTGGTAAGCTAATTAAATTCTAAATTCTAGTTTGCTTTGGGCAAAACGTGTGTGTACTTTGCAATCCAGCATCACCTGCTCAAAAACCAAACCAGTATCGTTCAACCCAAACTCGTCAAAACGACACCGACAAACCTTTTTGTCAACGTCTCTCCTATACCGACCAGATTTTGTTCGTCCCTCACCTTTTCGTCGGAAGGGAGACCCAGCATGGGCGAGGCGAGCACCACAGTGTTGGGCTGCAAGGGTCGGGCGAACTCCAGCCCAAAGTCCCCGTAGAACAGCCAGAGCTGAGCCTGGGCCAACATCTCCGGCATCCGCTTCTCCGGCATTAGTTTGTACTTCCTTTGCAGGTCCTCGTACTTCCAAAGCATGGATCGCCTGGCCTGGTTGTTGATAAAGTATAAATACGTGTTCTTCACACGCTGAAGGAGGTTCATCTGGTCAGTCAGGCCTGCCTGGCGTTCAGGTATGTAGGCTGGGTGGTTTGGAATGCCGTACCTATCAAGAAAAGGAGACAAGAAACGCAGTGGCGTAGCGAAATATTTTAATTTGGGTTCTTAGGCTGCCCTTAGGTTTACGTGCGATTTCCTTGAGCCATGACAAAGCCATCGGCATCAAGCAGAAAGGTAAAGCGTATATAGGTCAGAAAACTGAGAAATCGTGTGTTCTCGTGAAACAAGCGACATACGACGCAATATAATCGCAACCATGCTCATGTCACTCACAAATCGACGCCGATTCACGCCTTCTGATGCCGATCGCCTTAATATCGTCGCAGTTACACTAAAGTCGCAAACAAATCGGCGACTAAATTTGTTCCCGACGGTCTTTGCTAAGGCGCAGCTTGATAAATCACGATTTGCTTGCGCCACGGTGGAACCGTCGGCATCAAGCACACAAATTATGCTCCTAATTCCCGGCATGACCACCTTCTGCTCAGGTCACAAAACTGAGTAATCCTGTGATTGTCGCGGAACACGTCGCAGAAGTTGAATTTCTTCTACTCTTGCGACTGGTTATTTTTTTTTGAGCGCCAACTGATGTTGATCGTTTTAATATTGTCGCAGTTACACTCAGGTCGCACAAAATCGGCGACTTAGTTGTTCCCGACGGTCGTAGCTCAGACGCCGCTTGATTCCTGAAAAGTCAGTCGGCGACTGTTCTTTGTCTTCGCAAGTTCGACCTGAGGTACAACGCACACATCGGATCGGACCACACTTCACACACAGGCGGGCCGTGTGCATCGAGCGCGTTCAGCGTGTTGATCAGGCGCGCGCATTTTCCCCCTTCTCCCCTCCCCTTTTTGGTCATTGGGGAGGGATTACACCCCCAATCGCTACGTCACAACATTTTGTCAAGACCTCCAAACAAAATTAATAGACCCTCCGTAATCTCGTTCTCGGCCTGTTTTGGCTCTTGACCGTCGAGTCCATGTGTGATCTCGTTCTCGGTCTGTTTTGGATATTGACTATCGAATCCATGTCTCGCACTTGGTCCCTGACTTCCAGGTTTTACTCTTGCTCTCGCAAGTTGTACACTTGGTCTTGGTCGTCTTCAAAGAGGAATTGCAAAGTGACAGAACGCTGGCAACACCTGCCAAGGATAAACCTCATATTGTATAATCCTTCACATGAAAATACATTATATTTGTGTGTACCTACCAGCTTCCTTTGGAAGGGATAATGCCCGTTCCACTGACCAGGACAAACTTGATTCCCAAAATCTCTGCTAGCAGCGGGTGGCAATCAGACAGATCCTCCCCGATCAGCAGGTCGAAGCTCTCCTCTCTCATTGCACTAATCGTCGCGTTGTCCCCCAGAAGGCTGTCGCATTCGTTCGTGTGGAAATCGAACAACAGCTGCGGAGTCTTTGCGTTGGAGAAAAACTTTTGCCCGATGTAGAACCTAGCAGCATTGGCCAGTCCACGAAGCTCTCCGGTCAAGCCCAGACGAGAGATCGCCCGGAGGTTCCGCTCCCGGTCCTCCGCCGTGTACAGCGACCGGTGCACGGCAAACCTGAACATGTCAGCCCCGTCGGCATTCCGCCATTTTGTGCAGCTGTCGCTAAGGAGGAAGGTGACGTCATGCCCTTTCCGGACAAGAGCTTCGGCGATCTTAATGTTGGTCAGGTGATGACTGCCGTCGTCTGAGGCGGTGTAATAAAGAAGCTTCAATCGCTTCTGTTCGACCGTCGGTGTGGACTCGCATTGCCCAGCGAGGAGGAATATAACCAGCGGAATGACTAACTGGTGAATTCTTATGCTGGTACTCGCCATAGTGCCAAGCAGACGATACTAAGGAGTAAACGGGTGAAGGGGAAAGATGTAAAGAGGAATTGTTATGAGATTTGACTGTCTCTAAGTGACTGGTGATGGTATTTACCCAAATTCCAACGGCATTTTGATAAGGAACCTAGGCTAATCATAGGCTACTCAACTCTAACGCACGCCGGTTGATGATGTTTGGACTTTTAACAGCAAGCATTCAGAGCATTGAGGGCGTTGTTAACATCATGACTCATAAACAAATTGCTGAGGAACTAAGGCTAAAATTTTGACTAAATTCCTCAGCAATTTCTTTGGGGGTTAATATAATTTCGCTTATTGAGGGCGTTGTTTACCTCATAACCCATAAACAAATTACGGAGGAATTTAGGTTGAATGTGGTTTCGCTTACCGACTCCAATCGCCGTACAGTGGAATCTAAAGCACCTTGATATTTGAACTTAGCTAGTAATCATTGGTTTATCGCAGAGGATATGGTTGCATAACAAAGCAATTTTATGACACCCTACAGGGAAATCCAGGACCATTTTTTTTTGTGATGTCCCTGATTTGACCCCCCAAAATTGACTCAAGCTCCTTGGCATTTGAGTATTACTTTGCAGGCTTTATGAAATCACCCCAATTAATCTACCACTTACTAACCAGTTGTTCTTAATCGAACTTGCTAGGGCAACGCATCATTAAGGGATCTCCCTTAGGACATCTGTCAAGTGAACAAAAAGATTCTCGTCTGGACTTCTTGGGGGAAAAGTGGAGCAGGTGGCCCTTTTTCAAGATGGTGGATTTTCCAGGATGCATTGTTCCATTTTCTCGACACTTTTGCTGATTCATTTGTGTCAAAGGAGCCGCCGACATTTCTAACATAATTATAAACTTGCATTTATAGCAATACCACAATTTAATAGAACCCACATACAAGACAAAATATTTTTAAAAATGAGACGGCCGGGAACAAAGGAACCGGGCCTGGACGACAAACCGAATTTGTTTGGCATTATAGAGATCCTCGAATCTGGAAACTGGCGAAAAAAGGGCATGAAACTGGCATGAAACAAAAATACCGAAACACAGAAAGGGGAATTAAAAGTTCATTTTAAAACCACTTTAAGTCGATCAAAAAATAGTGTGCTTAAAAAAGAAAGTGACCGAATTAGAAAATTCTTTGTTTTTAACCCTAAAAGGGCCGGGGGGGGGGCGGAATCCGCCCCCCCCCTCAACATTTTCCGCGATAGCTTCTAAAAAAATTTTTTTCGCGACCCTAGCTATTATGACTTTTTAGCCTCGAGCTTTGCGCATCTTTTGATACCAAAAACATAAAAATCGGACCACGGGTTTGCACGTAGCGAAAAATTTTCCGGCGCTACGCGCCGTGAAAACTGAATTTTCGCATATACGTCGTGTAAACCGAGCAGAATTGGCATTCATACATATGAATAATTAATTAGCCATAATTCCAAAACCCTTTGACCTATAGTCATGAAATTTCTTGGGCATGTTGAGGAAGAGTTGTTCTATGCATGTAGTGAGTTTCAAAAATGTTCGTCACTCGATGGCCGAGATCTTAGGGGGGGGGGGGCGGAATCCGCCCCCCCCCCCCGGCTGAGAGATGGTCAAAATAACCCGGCCCCTTTAGGGTTAATGCAATTCGGCCATCACAAGGCCAAAGGCCACTTGAGGTGTGGGCTTTAGGGGAAAGTGTAAAAGAACTAGGCCCTCACAGACCATATCATAATAATCTCTTCACGGTATGAATAGGGCTGGGATGGGTATTAACTAGTGCACTACAAGGCATTAAAAATGCCTCTACCCACATAGGCGTACTGTGTCATAGCTCAGGCTGGGCTCGAACCCACAACCTGCAGAATTAGCCCCAGACCACGAATTCAACGCTCCAGACCATGAGGGAACCATGCCTACATACTCAAAAAGTGCATGTTTATTGACTAGTAACTGTGAACATTTCTCATAATTTGATGATGATTTCAATAAAAAGATCATAAAATTCAGCTGTCCACAACTAATCATTTACCGTTTTACGAACTGAGGAATTACCATTAAATGTAATGAAAAATAAGCGCTTTTTCAACGTCCACGAATGAACAGAAACTTGCAAAAGGAAAGCAGATGCATTGTCATTGATATTTCAGGGACAAAATGGACTTGTTCCTCATATTCAAAACAAAAGCTGACAGTAAAAATAAAGTTTTAATCTGACTCAAATGATTAACCCTAAAAGGGCCGGGTTATTTTGACCATCTCACAGCCGGCGGGGGGGGGGGGGGGATTTTGCCCCCCCCCCCGTGATTTTGCCCCCTCCTATGATCTCGGCCATCGAGTGACGCATAGGTTAAAGGGTTTTGAAATTATGGCTAATTAATTATTCATATGTACGAATGGTAATTGTGCTCTGTGTACACGACGTAAATGGCAAACTTCAGTTTTCACGCCGGAATTTTTTATGTTTTTGGTATCAAAAGATGCGCAAGGCTTGAGGCTAAAAAGTCATAACAGCTCAGGTCGCAAAATCCCCCAAAAATTCAAGGTTATCGCGGAAAAAGTTGAGGGGTGGGGGCGGATTTCGCCCCGGCCCTTTTAGGGTTAAATCCATTTGTATATGAATGCATGGTTGTAACCTGTAATTCTCACTCAGTTGAATAGCTTCCAATGGTATGAAGCCCGGGAAGGGACAGGGTGGAATTTTTTTTTGGCGTTTGCTAATTCGTTCGCACGAATTACTAATTCGTTCGAACGAAATCCTAATTCGTGCGAACGAATTAGTAACTCGTGCGAACGAATTACTGGAGTTTGTTAATTCGTTCGCACGAATTAGTAATTCGTTCGCACGAATTAGTAATTCGTGCGAACGAAATAGCAATTCGTGGGAACGAAATAGTAATTCGTGGGAACGAATTAGCAATTCGTGCGAACGAATTAGTAATTCGTGCGAACGAATTAGCGAATGCCAAAAAAAAATGCCACCCTGTCCCTTCCCGGGCTTCATACAATGGCATTTTATGGACAGCTCTAAAAAAAAAAAGTTGCTTTTGGTAAAACATGCATAGCATCTAAAAGAATGGATCAATTCTAAGATAGTTTTTTTTTAGATGAGTGGAAGACAACGGTCCTTTAAGGCATACTTCATTCTTAAATTGTATTTTTTTTTTCAAAAAACAAAATAATCAATCCAGGGCACTTCCTTTTTGACGCACCCTGTATAATTGTATGAGTGATTAGTGGCCATTTCTGCATGGGTACGCTAATGCCACGTTCCATATAAGCCATTTTCGGAGTTACAAAAATGTACTACTGCACGTGCGCACATCAGATTCAACGATTTAGTGTCGGAAGATAAACAAAGCAGATAAATGTACACAAGTCCATGCATGGGGGACGTGGTAACCAAATCCACATTTTGCAATTTTGTTCTAGTAAAACAGAAGATGGAAATTTTTGCTCGCACAAAAGTTGGAGCACACGAAGCAACGTAAACCATGGTGCCGTTGAAAACAATCAACATTTTGCATCTACTTCAAAATAAGAACTGTTCTATAATTTTGTTGGTACCCCGCTACGGTTTTGCACGCGTGTGGCGAACTGTTTATCCCCCGACCCTAATCGTTGTCATGGGATGTGCGCATGTACAGTTGTACATTTTTGTAACTCCGAAATGACTTATTCATGAGCACGACAATGGCGTCATTTATAACCTTCAACTACCCGCACATTCGATAATATTCCGGTAGCAGGCAAGATACATAAATCCTAATTTTTGATATTTACAGGCGCACTGACCTGTCACATTCTCCTTGAAAAAAATGCTGGTTCTCGTTTTTGGTCACGTATCAAGTTATTTGTCACCATGCAAACTCGTGTGACTAAACATCAAAATATTCCTTCGTTGTTGGTAGCATGATGACTGTCCCTAGAAAGTAATTTCAGCATTTGAAATTCCGCTGTTTCTAGAATTAACAGAGACCATGCTTTGCAAAAAATCATCTCGTTGTTTATAAATAAACGAGAACAATAATATCAAAACCAAAAGTCTTGGCATTCGTTTTCAACACAATTAATTAAGCAATCGTGGTGTTAATACATGCTTTCTGTGCATGAGTATGTTTCATTTTGGGTATTATCCTTCATTGCTCACTTTAACCCTAAAAGGGCCGGGGTGGAATCCGCCCCAACGTTTTCCACGATAGCCTTGATTTCTTTCCGCGACCCGAGCTGTTATGACTTTTTAGCCTTGAGCCTTGCGCATGTTTGATACCAAAAACATTAAAAAATTCCGGCGTGAAAACTGAACTTTCCCATATACGACGTGTGCGCAGAGCAAAATAACCATTCGTACATATAAACAATTAGTTGGCCATAATTCCGAAACCCTTTGACCTATAGTCATGAAATTTCTTGGGTATGTTTATGATTAGTTGCTCTATGCATGTACCGAGTTTCAATTTTTTTTTCACTCGATGGCGGAGGTCTTAGGGGAGGAGGCGGAATCCGTTGTTCATTTAGCACGCGACAGAAATGTCGTTGAAGTAACAATGCCATATCGTGCAACAGCCTAACATAGTATACACTAATAATGTAACCATAGCGTGACATTTTACATCTAATTGTTATCGTGACTGAGACGTATACAACAGTTTGTTTTGATTTAACTCGGTGACTTTTTACGCTGGATCTCGTATTGATCTTCATGCGAAAAGGTCTCTCATCACAGTTCATAAAAAAAAATCACCGTTTGTTCTTCAACTTAACGAGTAGCCTAAGTGAGCTTTAAACTAGCAGAGGCGGATATTCAAAGTGGGTTGCTGAGGTGTTGTATAAGTCTAAGATTTGGTATGGGTATGGATGGGGTATTAAGTCTAAGATTTAGTAGGGGTATGGATGGGGCGTTGAGGTCAAAGCAAAACAGGCCAAATGTCTTAATTAAAATATATGCAGTGTTAAGTCAAGACATAGAGTTTTAGGCAACATAAGCAAATTTTGATTTTGATCATAAAAACAATAATGTACATTGGTCAGTCTGGGAAGGGGTTGTAAGCCATTGCAATCACTCTCCTCGGATCCCCCTTTGAATACGGTGTCAGCAAAAATTCAGTAAAATCACAATTTACATCAACAGTACCTTCACATAATGAGAATCTGGCACGTGTTAAATCTGTTTGAAGACAGAATAAAATAAATACCTGTACCTCATAAATAAACTTCTCATTTCCCAATATATTGTGAGGATAACAAACCAACACGACGAGTACATCAATTGTGATTTCAAGTCTCCTGGATTGAGATCTTCTTACCGATTTTGTAGCTAAATTCCTGATGTCCGCAGCTCTGCGTTGCTCGGCTCATCCGCACACCAACTGGCCTACAGCTGACGAAAGTACAGAGTCTTTGAATTCAGCCTTATATGAAGCAATCACCCATGACCAATTTTGCATAAACCAATGCCTTCTTAACATTCATTGCTTTAACCTAAAGTTGTTATCCTACACAATCTTGTGGCGTAAGTGATGGCAGAACGAGAACCAGCCAATGACACCTCGTATAAAATAGGCCGAAGTCGACCTCAATGCAAAGCCCTGTATTTCCTACCAGCACAAGCATTTACGACTAAGGCCTGTAGACCAGTACAATGTACGAATTTACTCAATCAACCATGCGTCCAAGGCCCTCACTTGACATGAAATCGTTATTGTGGGTAGGTCAGTAAGGCCCACAAAAAAAGTCTCCGGTTTCTGGTATGGAGCTTGCCCAAAAGTGGTGCGGCGACGCGGCTTTTTTTTTTTTTTTACCTGTTTTTTTTTTTTTTTTTGGCTTCAATTGTCGGCTGATGATTGCAAATGGTGCCCGACTAAACTTAGTGCAAATATATGGTCCAGAGAGGCCACATAAATCTTATTCTCGATCATAACCCCATCTAAAAACACGTCAAAATTGTGCAGCAGCAGAATTCCAGTCAAACCAGTGAGTTTGGCGGTTTTGAAACATCATCTTGTATTGAAAAAAAAACGTTTTCATTTTGCCGACGCGCATGGCTACGGCGACGCGCGCACAAACCAGAAACCGGAGACTTTTTTTTTGGCCTAAAGCCAAATCGAAGGCAAATGTATAAATACGGGTCTTGAAATGAGGAATAAGGTGGACCAATCCGCCTACCATGTCTTTCCGGATTATTTTCTGCGTGTAACTTTCACCTCTTCGAAGAGCGCAATAAAATATTGATGAAACTGCAACGCAGCGTGGGTTGCTTACTGCCACGATACGTATAGACCATTATCATGTTGCCGCCATCTTGAATTTGTTCCCATTCAAATCAACGTAGCAAAAGCGAGACTGGAAGGGAAAATAGTCTGGTGCCTTTATGCACACAAAACATTATCATTCACTACTGGTATTGGATGCAGGGAACATGACTGAAATGGTGGCAGTATGATAAAGGTCTATTCCTTGCGCAAGTTTATGGAACCCTAACGCTGCCCGGGCAACAGTTAGAAAAATTCTAGCCCATGTGTACATGCCCAGAAATAGGTAGCCGCTACCAAAGCAGTTCGATGGTAAAGGAATTTAAAGTACGCTGTCAAGAAGATATCAACTTAAGATAATACATTACTGAAAGTTAAGTGTCATCTTTTAAACTAAAATAATTTTTCGTCAAACTTATAAAGTTCCCCAATAAAGCCTCCAATACAGTCTTGGCAACCTTCCTAATTGTTATCAGATTGAATTGTTACGATTCCATGCCCTGCATGTTTAGCTTTTTTTAGCCATTGTTGAAATAAAATGAGCCGGAAACACGTAGGCCTATACCATAGAGCTAGCCCTATGCCTGTACTAAAGTAACTACCAGTATAAAGTGGGAATTATAGCCGTGTCCGGGCACATGATCACTGTACACTCCCTTCAACGGCGACAAAATTATGACAATTGTTCCATGAAGGTTATCCTGAAGAACGCTTTCGCTATGAATGTGGCCTCCGTGCTAGAAGAGATAGCCTTCCCGTGCTCATGACGTATCGGCCTTTGTGCACTCAGCTTCTGGCGGAGGGGGGGGGGGCTACAACGGCAACCGTACCCCATTTTAAAATTAAAGCAGGGAAGGGAAAAGACGACTGCTGTTCAATTGATACTGTGGCCTACTGGTCCACTTTCACTGAAATACCAGAAAAGGGGAAAAGAGCGCCACCCTGCGTTAAATGAGGTCAAGCTAAAGACCGATCCTGCGTGGCTGGGTAATAATGTGGTTCTTCATCAACAGTTGCACTTGGCTTGCATTTGATACGGAGGATATTACATCCTCCCATCCCTACTTTTTATTGAGGTATTGGTCATTGGAAAAAAAGAACAAAGTTTATTACATGTAATTATGTAACAAGACAAGTCACACGAAAAGTAAGGCTGTGCATGAATCACTTGCCTACGGCTGAAAATAACACGCGCACCACCCCTTTGGAAGCCACTAGCCTGCGGCTGCCGCCAATTCCCATAGACTCGTGCGTTATAATCGGTCGGTCGTACGTGATTCGAACACGACCTAATAGTACTACCGAATTGGCTCAAATATCACACTCTGGTTTTAAAGAGTCTTAAATTATAAAACACTACCGATCCAATACCAGTTATAGTGCAGGTGCCAGCAAAACTAGTTTTTATTTTATCAACCCGTCACCAATCAATCAATGTAAGTTGCAGATTGAAAACAAATCCCTTTAAAATCGATTCGATTTTTGCAGTGAAAATAGTGTCTGAGCATCACAAGTAGATATTACCAGTTTTCATTACATCTTGAATCTCAAGGGAACAACATGATTAACCAGAGAGTAACACTGTTTAATCGAAGTCAAAGTGTGATTATAAACAACAGGGTGTTATTTACTGAAAATGTAGGGCTAAACACGCAAGTGTATACCACGTAGGCCGGTATTTTGCCAAATACATGTGCTATTTCTGCAGTAAGATTTTAATATGGTCTTAAATGAAAGTAGACGTAATTATTTATTGCAAGATTATATAATCATATCATCTGGTTACGACCAAGTTTAACCACATTAACTTTACATACAAAAGACAGGTGGTCGTTCAGCAAACGAAACCAATTCTCATGTATGTGATGTACTTGAAAAGTACACGAGTGATTTGAATGATTCTTGTACTAAAAGAAAGCTTATGAAATGGGCTTTCATTCCTAGATTCTGAAAGTGCTACATGCAGAACTTCATTAAAGCAATCCCGACATTTGGGTTTCGTTGTTTTTTATACTCACCCTGTAGTTAGAACAACGTTTCTGCTTATTGTTAAGTAGCACTATGAATTTGGGCCCTGGTTGTAATAAGAAATAAAGGCTTTCAGAGCCATCAATCATTGAGGACATGACCTTTGAAAGTAACTTTTAAGATTAACAGTTATTTGCAACTGCTCGAAATCCATGGGAATTCATTGAAACACGTCCAGATTCTTGGGCATCTCTGAAAATAGTAAAAGAGTTTCTTAAAGGGTAGTAGTGTGGATGAATCATCAGCATTTTACTATTGGAATCTGAAATATTTAGAATCTGAAATATTTCTCATAATTCTGTTGGAGCGCATGATGCTCATGTAGGCCCTACAATTCCGAGGGCTGTTTTATTATTATTTATATCAGAAATAGTCACAGAACTTGGTAGAATATTTCAACAACACGCTTTGTTGTGGAGCATGAATCAGCCTGCAAAACGGCTGTTAGGCTCAGATCGGTGGACACGAGCGAAGTTCTATTTCTACAATCCATCCATGCATTATCTTTTCTTTATTGTTCATTTAGTATAATTGTCATTCTTATGTCGTGTATATTTGCTGAGTTTGATATGGGCTTGAAATGTGAAGTTTGAAACACGAATTGCAGTGTCCCTAACAGCCATATGTTTATATCCATTAGTGTTTTTTTATGATATATGCTACTACTAACGCAATCTCAAGGGCTTTAGTCATGTTGGTAAAAGTCTGGGGTTTTTTTTTACAGCCAGTGCTTTCACACACCTGTTTGCTCCAGCGTCACGAATTTTGTACCATACTTTTGAGTATAAGCCACAGATGCAAATTTTTACATTTTAACCTGAATTCGTTGTTGTTTTATTAAACAAATGTGACAAATTAAAAGTGCTGGATTTGGTCGTAAACATCTAAAAACCACATTTTTGAAAAGGGGCAAAGGTAGTTTCAGTGGTGTTTCAGGATTTTTATTGATGGTGGCATCTCTGAGTAACGTGCGAAGGGATAAGCTCATTTTCAAGGGTGAATATTGATACTGAGGTTTTGACTTGGTAGATTATTTTCTTACGGACTGCTGTGTTCTGGCTGCTGAATGTTTTCAACGTCGCTATGCAAGAGAGAATGATCCAAAGGAGTAAATTTATTTTACTTCACACTTTGAAGAATCTTCGAGGCCGATTTGTCCTGCAAATAATGTAAATATTTTGTAGAGCAGTATTCCCAAAAAAACTTCCATTTTTGATCAGTTAAGATTCTCTTAAACAAAACGTTGTTTTGTAATTAATAATTTCCATTGGCGTATATGGCTTAGTCCACTTATTTAAAAATTGATATTATTTTATTTTAATAATAATACATGGAGTATTTTATGAAGAAAATGTAGTACCTTTCTGCGATATAATTTGTAATGTTGCCTCTAATGTAACTTTTTATAGCTCAAAACAGCGTTATATAAGATCCAAACTGGGCTCTATGCATATTAGAGAAATAGTGCAAAAATAGCTAAAATCGTTCGGCACATGACTTTCAAAAGTCTATAACTATTCATGTTTTGTCTAGAGAAAATAAATGACAGTGCATTGACAAAAGCATTGAAAACTGCATTCAATCAAATTCCATTATCGTTTATGTCCTCGACGTCGTCTTAGTCTAGACCTGAGGACAATTCGCTAGACAGTCGTGGTGTTTTGGGGGTTTTTCGTCGGCGCTGCCAATATCATTTTCCGCAGAAGATGCTCAAACGGGCCCGCGTCACCGCGGTTATTAATAAGGAACATTTGCAATAGTACGCGTACGAATGCGTAAGCGGCTCAGAAAAAAAACCTGCTTGTTAAATCATCCTTTGACATTATGTGAAATACCATGGGCAATTTTCATTTTACATCCAAAGTTTAAAATGTACATCCATAAACTTGGTGCAATAACTTCACATGGCGATAGTATACAAATATTGAATGTTTACGAGTGTATAAATGGTAAAAATAATTTCATGAGATTGCACGTGTATTCTATGCATAACACGAAATGTGAACAAATTATTTTTTGTTTTGTTTTATACAAACACAGTTAATAAATCCTCGTCATCTATTGGTCAGAGCCACCAATCGCGTGACTGTGCAATGGAACTTAATTTACCGTAGAACAGAATCTGTGTTGGGACGGATAACTCAATGGCATTTGATCAACGACCCATCAATCAGATGACCGGGATTTATTCGGGCGTTGTAAAAAACCAGCCATGGTTCTTGCGAGCCGCCTACGTATGTCGTACTCGCACTCTAATATATCTCTATATTACGGCCCATTAGAAATAGTGCGGGTACGGGGACGTACGTAAGCGGCTCAGGAAACTCGGCTCATTAATCACGCATTTCACATCAACATAACTGAGTTGCAGATAATTCACATGTGAATTTGGTGAAATAAGCACACAAAAATATTTCTGTATATACGCACTGTTTCTAATATTTTGCAAATTTATGTAGTACGTTCAGCGCGGAAAATACAATTTGAGTTCAAGAACGTGGATTTCTAGACTTGTCTGCGATTAGGAGGACAAATTGCTACTCGCTGGCAGGGTTTTGAATTCAAGAACGTGGGTTTTTCAGAAGTTGTCCGCGAATTGGGGAAAACTTGAATTGGCACTTTCGTGGATTTATAGAGCTGTCCGCAATTTTTATAGGGGAAAAAATTATAGTTAAAGATCGTGGATTGCTAGATTTGGCCGGGACTAGGTAGACAAATTAGCACTGGTTGTGTGTGAAGAGCGCAAATTACAATCCAAACAAAAACACCGCACTTGCTGGCCGGACGATAATTCAACTTGATACACCTGTTGTATTGAATTGAAATTTCGTCTAGGGATTGGTCGTGATATATAGCACAAATCTGTTGAAGATCGAGAAAAATCCTCAAACAGTGATAATAATAATAGTAATACTATAACCAAAACAACGTAGTATGTTTCTAGCACGAAAAATATAAGCCGAATTGAAGCCAAATGTGTTTTTCTTTCGAAAGAGGGCGCTCTACACAAAGAGTGGTTGACCTCGCCAAAACAAAAAAAACTGTTATCCCGCCGCACACGAGAGCTAAGTGCTGAGCAAAAAGTCATTCGAAGCCGTTCAGCATGTAGCTCACAAAATATCCTCGTGAGCAGCGAATTTTTGCTGTTTTTGCGTCGCGTGGCCGTGAGGCAAATATCTACCCTGTTTGATTTATTTCGCCCCGCGAGGCGAGAAACCCACTGTGTGCGGTCAACCTGAGGTACGTGCTGAACTAAAAAGATTAACTAGCCAATGAAATCACGCACTCTGTACACTTGATTCTAGGAAATGTTAGTGCAAATCTTCTAAAACCTGCTGGCCTTGTCCCTATGTTTTTTTAAATTACGCGACTACATTACATTAGGTTAGCACGTAGCTCAGGTTGACCGCACACGGTTGAGTTTTTCGCCTAGCGAAGCCAAAGAAATCAAACAGGATAGATATTTGCCTCACGGCCTTGCGAGGTAACAAAACTCAGCAAAAACTCACTGTAAACGGTGAGTTACGTGCTGAGCAAACGGCCTCGAATTACTTTTTGCTCAGCACGTAGCACTCGTGTGCAGCGGCGGGCTTAAAGGAGGTGATGCACAACGCATACGTGGCTGGAAAGACACCATCGTTCCGAAATGGGCAACTGTACATTGCTGGTCACAGATAAACTCACCAGCCCCCTTCGCCTCCTGGACTGATGGGTGCACACCGGTAAATAGGCCAAAACTCATCCACCGAGCTCATGAATAAAAGTTATACCCTCAAAATATTCTATATTAGAGAGTTCCGATAGCCATAAAATGAGGGAATTAAGTGATATGGCAACGAACCTCTGGCCCGGACTTGGGGCTTCCAACTCTGAGCATTTTGGATGCAATTGGGCTCGAAAATGGCTCTTTTTTGCCAGGTTGTGGAGGGATCGTTTTTCAAGATAGCTACTTTTCCGCTTTGAGGAAAATAGGGGTCGTCTTGTTTGTGTGAGAATATCTTGAAAAGACAATAGTCAACCCACCAAAAAAATGAAAAGAAAATGAAAGATGACATGTTGATCATCAATTTTATGTGCAGCTTAAATACATGTGAGAGTTCTGAGTATTTTAAAAAGAATTTTGAAGTATGGGCATTTAGCACTAGTGTCTATGGAAATGTTAATACAAGGTTGCACCCTGATTGACATGGAGACAACTGTATTCACTTGGTGTAAAGTCTAATCTTTTAGCACTATAACCATACGGAGCATGATTGATAGCGTGTCCGTTCTGTGTATCTGTCATCCTCCCTTGTTAGTGAAGTTCTTGTGTCAGTCCACTCTCATGTATATAATCCTGTCTGTTGTTTGTTTATGAAGTTCATTGATGTTTGTTGTTCCCGATTAGTAATCAGAAATTTATAAATGCCAATTTGATTTCCATATCATATTTGTAGTAACCCGGTAAACAATAATCAACTTTTTTTGCGATTCTTGTAAATATTGGACTCATTCGTATTGTACAGATTTGCTTGCTTGTCAACCAAGAATCGTAATTACTTGTGCTGGTAGTAGGAGGTACAGGCATTGTATTACAGTTATTTGGGGGACCTATTTTACGAGCTGTTATCGGCTGGTTCCTGTTCTTTATTACTTACATAACATTAACAACGCCTTAATTTATGCCAAAGTGATTGCTACATAGGCCTTTACAAGTGTAAGGAGCCTGCACTTCCTTCGGCTTTCGTCCAGTTGGTGTACGGATGAGCTGAACCACGCCAAGCTAGCTGCGGACGTTAGGAATTTAGCTACAAAACGGTAAGAAGACCTCCATTTGTGTATTCATGATTCGTGTACATTATCATCGCAGTAATTTATAATGAATAGTTTGATATTATATTTAAAAAAAAAAAAGACAAGTGACAACGCAGTTTGTGAACATTAACCTACAAAGAGACAACGAAAATGTAGGGGTTGTTTGAAACGAAACTGATTTTCATGTCACAAATACAAGCGGCGATTAGCAATATGCAAATGCTGTTGAAAATGAATACTTCTGTCAAATTTGCATGTTGGGGGCTAAACTGAAAACCAACAAACTAAACGGGATTTGTTTGCACGAAATGTTTTAATCGCACGCTTATGAATGGAATTAAATCTGTTAGAATAGACAACTTGAGAAATAGGATGGGGAAACTATTACATGTATTAAAAAAAGGGACACAATAATAAATTTTCTGAATTTCACCGAATAACTAACGTCATCATTCATTATTGGAAATGCTCATTCATCGATAGGCCTTTGCTCTTTTAATGCGTTGATTGCAACGTCTCATCCATACCCATGGAAACATCTCATACTTATACTAAGTAAAGTCTGTCCCGAGCCAATATGGCCCATCATCAGGCCAGCGTTTATCTCCGGTTTCATTGGCATGAAACGACTGAGAATATTTCTATTACCCCTGGACTGGATGCTAATGCCGGTACCCATTTGTACTCCTGGGTGGAGTGAGGCAATTGAGGATGGAGTGGCTTGCGACGTATAGCTAGCAGCTGGATTCGAACCCCTGACCCTCTGATCATAACTGACCCTCTGCCACTGCCACTGTTATTACAAAGCCCTTGTAGTTCATCTCGGGTGCTAGTATGCTCCCCTTGGGTGTTAACAACGGAATATCACACATAACATCAGTCAACACTCGTTTTGTTACATCTTGCCAATAACTAAAAAAAATCAATGGTTGTAACTTACTGTGCGAGAAATAAAATTAAATCACTGCGATCTAATCTGTAATAACTGCAGGCTTTCCTGCCGGTGTAGCGTGAATATCCGACTCCATGAAATACGAACTCGTAGTACTGCGCATGCGTAAATAATAATATGCCTATTTATAGGCATATATAGGAGAGTGACTTGAGAAGGATTAGCCAATAAAAGGGAAAAGGAGTCGGATTTTCATATGACACCGGGCATGAGGTAGTCTATGTAATAGACCAGGGCGAATGCCGTGGTCTATTATGCGCGAACAGATTTGCTGATTAATTAGGCAAGACCCCGCCTCTAGACTTCCTAGATTTTGACCAATCAGCAGGCGCTTTCTATAGGTCTATCGGGTCTTCGGTCATTCACCCGTTGCGCGTCATAGACAAGGATTTAAATAAAAAATGTCACCGCGAGGCGCTCGGTATCATGTTACGCGAATGCGCTCCCGGCTGTTGTTGTATTACATAACGCTGCATTCGAATTGACCAATCGCGGCGCTCGGTATCATGTTACGCGAATGCGGTCCCGGCTGTTGTTGTATTACAAAACGCTGCATTCGAATTGACCAATTACAGCGTTAGTGCTGATTTTGGGATGAAATGACGTCACGATATAGTAAAGTCGACTCCGATTGGCTGGCGCGCGGCTTGCATAAATCTGCATGCTTTGACATATCAGACGTTAGACAGAAGATGGCTCCCTGGATAACGGGTGATGTTCAGACTAGGCATGAGGCTTAGCGGTTGCAGTTCTCAGTCTCGAGCGCCCAGGCAAGTTGTACACGCAAAACGCGCGCAATGAACGCAATGCGATATGCATTTTGTTTTTTATATAAACTTGACATGTGGCTGTTCTAGGCCAATGAAATTACAGTATATAACCACACAATATAACAATTTATAGTGAATTGGGCGTAGTGGCTTTTGTTTTATTCATGGACTTGCGTTACTCGAACTCAAGCTAAATACTCATCTTTCTGGAACAACCAATCTCCATTTGGGGTTCAGGAGTTTTAATGTGTCTTATTTACAATTAAACATTTCAAATAATTTATATATTAAATTTAATTTAATTTTTGCAGTTTTATGCAGATTAATAGATACATCGCAGGAAAATGTTCATTTGAAAGATTTGATTTGTTTCCATGGCGATATGACATTTTTCAAAGTAAAGCCATACAAAAAATAACACCAGATCCAGATTACTACTTCCCTCTCGATTCAAGACGTTTGGGCTTTAACTAAATACATACAGAAAATTACCTTTTAGTTTACAAACAATTACAAACTTCCTTTTTGTTCTTACCAGCGCAGTGATCGTTTGCAAAGCACAGTTTATGTTAATTCTTAAAAAAGAACATCAAAACGTCAAATGCTGACATTAAATTTTAAAGACAATATTCTGTTGGTTAGATATATAAATGATCAGTATGGTTATGTGAAATGCATAAGAATGTACGTACTACAGAGTGAGTACAAAAAAACGAAACCCAAATGTCGGGACCATTTTCTTAGTAAAGTTCTGCATTTAGCACTTTCAAAATCTAGGATATAAAAGCCCATTGCATAAGCTTACTTTTAGTATTAGAATAATTCAAATCATTCATGTACTTTTTAAATTACGGAATTTTAAACACAACCACCGTTTTAAAGTTCTGTCCACAGATCACCAAAAAGGTGTGCGTTCTTTCAGCAAAACGAAAACGAATCACATAGGGATGTGTGGCAATTATTTTTTTCTAAAATTACACGTACCTTTTTGTGGTCCGTGGACAGAACTTTAAAGCGGTAGTTGTGTTTAACATTTCGTAACTTGAAAAGTACATGGATGATTTGAATGATTCTTATACTAAAAAAAGAACGGTTATGAATTGGGCTTTCTTTTCCTAGATTTTGAAACTGCTACATGTAGAACTTCACTAAGACTATGGTCCCGACATTTGGGTTTCGTTTTTTTTTTTACTCACCTTGTATAACAACAAACAAAGTTTCAAGCTGAAGCATTTGAACATGTATAATTACGGTGACCAGTAACTTGAAACGCAACCAGCGATAAGGACCGGCATTTTTTTCACGCAGAATGCGACAGGTTATTGCACCTGATGCAATCAACACAAATAAGAATATGTTGAATCCAATGTATCCTACCCGTTCCTATCAATTGTGCGGGTAGCTAAAGTTTGCCTAAAATAAAACCATTGTCATTTGGTCGTAAATATACAGAACGGTGCGTAATCGTACAAAATAACACGCCTCCACAAACCAGGCATAGGATATTAAATATAATAATGGAAATTTAAAATAGACTTTTAATACCCATCTGCGTTTCAGTACCGGTAACTGTTTGTGACTAATTTTGCGAAGGGCGCTTCGTTAGTCTCTGTTTGCTCCAGATTTTTAAATTCTTTATGAGGAAGCTTCCCCTATGTAATATACGCTGTAGCCCCAAAAAAGTTCGATATTGAACAAATGGTCACTTTGCGGTTAACTGTGATGACTTCATCAAACCAACACAGTACATTTAAATGACGAAAAGATCACGGTTCCGGAAACCCCTTGTAAGGTTTCATTATAGGAAAGTGCTTCAATGTAAACATTCATTCAACCATCCTCTTCACGGTGAACCCTTAGACAGTTAGACAGTTAGACAAGTCCAACTTGTGAAACTAGTGAAACTAGTTTAGACTAAAAACATCAGCACATTCTTTATGGGTAATTTGGTAAACGTCGCCGTAAATGCTCAGAATGAGGTTACTTGTCCGTTAGCCAACCGACCAGAAGAGTAAGTCCAGCGTGGTTGTCCTACGTTCCTCATACAACCGTCTGTAGAACATTGCCATAATCCTTTCAGGCGGCCAGATCTCATATCAATTCCCAAAATGTCCCTTTTTCGTTACAGAATAATATCATCTGCATGACGCAATGACGAGTCCCGGCATAACGATTCACCAGCTAGTTATTCTGCTAGTTATATTTTTACTCGGTGGACAATGCGAGTCCACACTGACGGTCCAACAGACGCAACTGAAGCTTCTCTACTACACCGCCTCAGACGACGGCAGCCATCACCTGCTCAACACCAAGGTCGCAGAGGCTCTCGTCAGGAAAGGACATGACGTCACCTTCCTCCTTAGCGACAGCTGCACAAAATGGCGAAACGTCAGTGGGGCTGAAATGTTCAAGTTCGCCGTGCACCGGTCGCGGTACACGGTTGAGGAACGGGAGCAGAATATCCGAGAGATCTCCCGTCTTGGTCTTACCGGAGAGCTGCGGGGATTTGTCAAAACTTTTATGTACTCTATACGGCAGAGGTTTTTTTCAAACGCAAAGACTAACAAGTGGTTGTTCGATTTCCACACGAACGAATGCGACAGCCTTCTTGGGGACAACGCGACGATCCGTGCACTGAGAAAGGAGAGCTTCGACCTGCTGATCGGGGACGAATTGTCCGATTGCCAGCCGATGCTAGCGGAGATTCTGGGAATCAAGTTTGTCCTAGTCGGCCAGTCCATCATTCCTACAAAAGGAAGCTGGTATGTAAAGGCTAACTTGTTTTAAAATAATGTCCTTGCATTGAATAGATAATTGGTCTAAGACCTTGACTGAAATCTTCTGGTCAAACATTGAGACTTTGAGGTCCAAACAAAGACCGAGCCTTTGAGGTCCAGACTTGGACTGAGACAAAGAGTCTTATAGGTTTGAAACCAAGACCGAAAACTTTGAGGTAGAGACCGAGAACGAGAAACGTGGAAGCTTGAGACGAAGAAAGAGACCAGGGCCGTGACTAGGATGTCTTAGACTGGCCTCAAATCAAGACCGAGACGTTGTGGTACAAGACTGAGACTGAGGCCTGCAGATCCGAGACTGAGGTCAACACCAAGACCCAATGGTCTCAGATTGAGACCAAGACCGGGACTGAGACAAGGAGACCCTGATGTCTTAGACTGAGACAAACCATTGGTTTTAGACCGAAATCATGCATCGGGCACGGTAATAACCTGGTTTTGAGCTTGGACCTACAATGGTTGTTCACATAAGGCTTCATTTCCAGAAACCTTTTTTTGTCAAATCTAATGAACTGCCTCAAGTGAATGTGTCGTTATGACGTGTTCAGGAGGAAAATATTCGATGGCATTGCGACCTCAACAAGGGGGCAATGGAGAGGCAAAGAATGAATTGCGGTAGCGGTGTATCCAGTCAACACTCTAAACGCGCCTCGCCCTGCCCGCGCAAGTTTGTTTCTGCACTCAATAGGGGACATTGAACAATAGAGGACATAAGGGTCCCAAATTCCCGAAAGTCCCCAATTTAAAATCGTGCAAAAACATATGGGAGGTCTTCATAAAAAGTTAAAGTACAAACAAAAGAGGGAAAATAGAGGGTCCCGATTGCAGGCAATAATAGGACCTACACACTTGCGCGCTTGTGCTTTTATTGATCAGTCCCGTAAAACTCCCATGACAACTCCAGCGCAGGACCCCCTCAAACTATTATGTATATGCCTTCTTGTTGTTTCTGAAGATTCCTCATCCTTTCCTTGATAGGTACGGCATTCCAAACCACCCAGCCTACATTCCCGAGCGCCAGGCCGGTCTAACAGACACGATGAACCTGCCGCAGCGCATCCTAAACACCTGTCGTTACGTCATCAACGGTCTGGCAAGGCGAGCCGTGCTTTGGAAGTATGAGGATCTGCAGAGGAAGTACAACCTGAGCCCGGAGAAGCGGATGCCGGAGATGCTGGCCCAGGCTCAGCTCTGGCTGTTCTATGGGGACTTTGGGCTGGAGTTCGCCCGACCCTTGCAGCCCAACACTGTGATGCTTGCCTCACCTATGCTTGGTCTCTCTTCCGACAAAAAGGTGAGAGCCTCCCGCCACCCCTCCTCCTAAAAAAATACTCGGTTTAGACAGACATTGACAAAAACCTTTGTCGTTGATGTCTGGAATACTTTGGGTTGCTTGTACAGCACCGATCTGCTAAAAACAGTAGGTGGACCAAGCGAGACATAGAAGCACCTAACAAATTTGAACAATGCAAGTGTTTTGAATGAAACTCTGCCATCGTGCTGCTCAGTATATTTTTATTGTCACTCAGCAAAGGGTTGTAAGCTGAAGGTACCGGTCCAATATTCAGCTCTATATGATGCGCAGCATAATTGCAAAGCAAGAGTAGATGATATACATTGTCTACCATTGATTGGAAGTTGCGGATGCAGAGGGGTCAAGAGGTACGGACGTTCTTATTTCATTCATTTATTTCATTTTCCAGTGCCTTCAGAACACTCAATGGAGCATTTTAGATGTTACTCCTTGAATGATCACTACCACGTCTATTTCTTGGTGACTTAGATACCGAAAGACCAGCAGGAATTCCTCGATGCCGCTGATGAGGGCGTCGTCCTGTTTACGCTCGGCAGTCACGTGAACGAGATGGAAACTGCGCAGGCCCAGATGTTTGCCAACGGATTGGCCAAGCTGAAGCAGCGCGTCATGTGGCAGTTCCCTGGCAGTCTGGCGCATTTGCATATCGGGAACAACACGAAGGTTGTGCAGTGGATGCTTCAACAGAAGATACTGGGTGGGTTTCTGCTGAACGTGCTATATAAAGCTGATATTTAAGACCATGCTGTGACTAAACTGATCTCCCTTGGAGTTAGATCTGAAATTGTTCCATGGATCATTAGCTTTCTTTCGTGCAGGCGTCAGAGGGTTCGTTATCAATCAGCCATTTCTGATTGGGAACACCTTACATGTGGAGTTCCTCAAGGGATAAAACTTGGTCCAATTATTTTTTTGGCCACCATTGAAGACGCCTGCGCTGACTCCGTTGGTCACAAATGGAAATATGTCGATGACCTCAGCTTAGGTGAGATCAGATCAGTCAATAGCCATTCTTTTATGCAAAATAACATGGATGATTTGTTTCACTGGTCTCAGGCTAACAAACTTACGCTTAATCCATCTAAGTGTAAAACTATGCAATTTCACTTTGGGAAAAATCCCCCCGACCCACCTTCTTTAAAGATTGGTGATAACATAGTTGATGTTGTAGCACAAACAAAGTTGTTAGGAGTTTGGATTCAGAGTGACCTTAAATGGAGCACCCAGGTCCAAGAAATGATCTCTAAAAGTAGTAGACGCCTCCACATCCTTAGCCGTTTAAAAAGGTTTGGTGTTCCCAGAAACGATCTTGTAACAATATTTACTACTTATGTTCGTCCTGTCTTAGAATACGCTGCCCCTGTGTGGCACTCTGGTCTTACATCAAATCAAACATCATATATTGAAGCAATCCAAAAACGGGCATTTAAGATAATCTTAGATCAGGATCACTCCACTTATGATCATGCATTGTCTAGATTTAGTATGAAAACCTTGGCTAACAGGAGGGAAGATCTTTGTTTACAATTTGCCAAATCTTGTGTTGCTTCTGATCGTTTTAAGAGTTGGTTCCCCCTAAACAGTAGAGTTCATGCCATGGAACTAAGACAAAGACGACAGTTCATTGAACCTAAAATAAAGGTGGAAAGGTACTCCAAAAGTACTGTCCCGTACCTTACAAAACAACTAAACGCATGTATGCGCACTTGATTGTCAACAGTTTTATAATAATCACATTACCTAAACAAACACGGAAAAAAAAAAAAAAAATTCCAAAAATTAACAAATTATATAAAAAAAAAACTCTCTAGGATATATACCACCCCTAAATTTCAACTGCCGGTTGGATTTTGAAAAAGGCTGGACCATTTTTTTTTTATTATTGTATAGTGCCGTTTGTTTTTTTTTCTTTCTTTTTCTTGTTTTCACAATCTGAAAATGTTAATGTGATTTTAATGTTAAGTATGCTTTTAAATGTATTGTTCATCTTTTTGGTCAAAATTTGTGTGTGTGTAATTTTAATTAATAATGTTTTAATGGTGTTTTTATATAAGTGATAACTTTTAATCTTTGTACATTGAACCGCAATTCGGTATTTTGACCGCGAGAGTTCGATAAAAAATAAATGAAATGAAATGAAATGAAATGCTGTCTAGGTTTAGACCGCACTTTTCAGAACATGATAAAAAAAAAAACACCCTATTGGCGCGTTTAATCACCACCGCGCTGCCGTGTTCATCGGATGCTAAAATGAGTCGGCGAAATGAAAACCAACCCTGAAAGTGAAATGACATCAGCTTTAGTGAACTCCCAATAAAGGAACTTTAATAATTTACATGTATACTGAGAATTGTATATCCTCTCACACTGATTCAGTTCGGGAAAACAATTCATCGTTTTGCTTGGATATTTTATCGGGCACACTGCGGGCAATGTACATTTTACACAAAAATATGATGTATATATCATTTGGGTTAGGTGAACCTACCGCAAAAAAGTAATGATATAACCAGCTAATTATTCAGAGGTTACCCGTACCACTTCCAATGGTCTCCATTATCCTGATGTCAGAGGGCGCTTTCCATTGTGGTCTGGTACCTACAAACTCACCAGAGTTAAATAGCTAAAATCCTTTCATATGCGCATATAATATACCCGGGGCACCAGAATCAGTGGGCTAAAAGTATTTCAAGGAATGTCAGGGTATGTGCATATTCTTAGGAAGGACAATGATATTCACGTTAATAGTGCCCTCTACCGGGCCTTGAATCACTGCATCATGAATTGAGAATAATTATATGGATCGTTCGAGGAATCTATGTGTACATTGAAACTTCCTTGTCTTGGATTAACATACGATTAGCTAGGAAAAAGACCTCAATAAAAAACAACCTGCTGCACAATTATACCATTATCATTTATTTCCCCTCAGATCATCGGAACACCAAGGCGCTGTTGAATCACGGTGGCCGGTGCGGCATGTACGAGGCGGCTTGGTACGGCCTACCCATGGTCGGTATACCCCTCTTCGGTGACCACTTCGACAACATGGAGCGGGCAGTCGCTAAGGGGATGGCTCTGCAGTTGGACATCACCACGTTGACAGAAGACGCCCTCTACGACACGGTTACCCGCGTTATTGAAGACCCAAGGTTCGTAACATCAGCGCCTCGTCAAAGTGCGCCGCCATTTTAGTCCGGTGCCGGAATTTACTTGCAATTATAAACAACATGATAATACAACTCTTCCAACTTCAGATCTTGTAAATTTTCTACAAGTTTAATGACCCTATGTAATGTGTCGTCTCCTTTCCTATCATGCCCTTATTGCCTCATCCCTGGCACCCATAAGAAGTGCTACGACTTCGTATTGCTCATTTCAATACGTATAACTTGGTGAGAAAACGAACATCACGAGAAATCAGAAGTAGGTTTATGTAGGCCTATTATCTAACGGTATTGAGGGCGTATTCTCGTTTGCCAAAAGCTAGTAGATACACATTGGTGGTGAATTTCTGACAAGCTTTGAAACTGGAAGATTCCTTTCATTGCTGATTTCGAGAGCACGAAAGCCTCTGGCTGCTCCATCCACATGACAGCTGGGCTGTATAACGCCCTCTGTCGATCATCATGGCATTGACTTATCACAGAGGACAATCGCCATACAGAGAGGGATCAAGGTATCAAAATCAGTCATAAAAATAGAGATCTACCTACATGTCCAGCGCACTCTGTCCATATTTAATGTTTGTTTCATTCGTCTTCTTCACACGTTTTCCTCTACTTGTATAGATATCGCGAGAGGACGCAACACATCTCGCGCCTGCTCCGCGACGATCCAGTCATCCCGTCCGAGAAGGCAGCCCACTGGATCGCCCACGTGGGCAAGTACGGCGGGGAACACTTGCGCCCTCGTGCGGCCGACCTCAGCTGGATCCAGTACCACCTGCTGGACGTGTACGTCTCCCTGGCCGCCATTTTGTTCGGCGTGCTTGGTGTATTGCTACTAGGCTGCAAGGGGTTTATGTGGTTGGCGTGTTGCAACTGCAGGCAACAGAAGATAAAAGTTAACTAGAGGAAGTATTTAAGGTAAAACGATACAGAGCGCCTATACTAATGCACAAAAGGATATACTAATTCCCAGAAGGATATAATAATTGTGATGCGATCAAGCTATTCATTCGTTGGGATTTTCATTTAGAGATTCAGGCCAAAATAGGGCCACTTCATCACATCAGTTCATCGAATCTTTTGTTGTTCCGACTTCCATAATTTTTGAACTACATATGGTACCAGCATGCGGTTTTCACCGTAGTTATGATGAGATTGTGCTCTTTTCAAAGCTGTAAAACAAAATTGACCAGGGCGACAAACGACAAATTTGGCTGGATCGCATCACAATTGTCTGATAAGCCGATTTGGAGATCAGCACACTTTTAAATTCTATTTGAAGTGAAGTATGGGTAATATCTGGGTTTTTTTTTTAAATTGTATTATTTATCGTTTTGTTTTAGCAAAGTTTAGTATTTTACAAAAATATTGATTCATGTAAAAATGATGGTAATCAAAAATCCAACAGTGAAGCTATTCTTTTCTTAATTATAGCTTTTAAATGAATAACAACACATAGCCTGCGATTGCACGAAACTAAACGAACCTCCCAACTCTTAATGATAGAAAGCCAGTAATTGATATTAAAAAAAGCAATTATTGTATTTTAACTGCTAGTTAGTGTATTACTGGTTTAGGCACTAAATTATCATTGTAAAAAAAAAATTCACTGTTAAAACATTTTTTTTTTGGATTTGAATAATCCATAGACTATAATTTTGCTTTATTAATGTCGTTGAAAAAAAGGGATATTGGAAAGAAAATTTGATATCTTGATAATTCTCAATGCCGTGATTGTGTGGATGCCTCATTTCCCGAGGTTGTGGGAATCATTGACTTCATCGCCTCTATCGCCACATCCATGGACGCTTATTGTGTTCTCTTTTTTTCCCTTGGGTTCTAATGGGCAAGCTTTCTGTAACCATGAACATAACGTAAACACTTCAATGTGCGCATGACGTAGGTGTATTGCAAGTGGCCAGGGAGGGGGGACTATCCAAAATGCTTGGAGAATTCTGCATTTTCGTAAAATTGATAAACGGTCATCAGCGCTCTTTGGCAGGTGTAAAGACGACACTAGCTGACCCGCAGCGACCAGCACATGGATGTCGGACACTTCGCCCCATTTCCACTTCGCCCCATTTCCACTTCGCCCCATCCCCCCTTCGCCCCATCCCCCCCTTCGCCCCCTCCCCACTTCGCCCTATCCCCACTTCGCTCCAGCCGTTACATAGAAAAAAAAAATCTCATCTATTTTATTGGCTTAAACATCAGACGGCTCACGGGCGTCGCCGCTGTGATTTTTTATGTTGACAACCTGATACATTGCTGTCCGTCATGATTTCTGTTCGTTTCAGTGAGAGGTTTTTCATCACGCATCAAAGAGTTTACGAGTAGAGTATAAACACGTACGGAAAAAAAGTGTTTTCTTTGCGTTTACGACTTTCAATAAAACCATCAAGTGGAAACTTATGTTGACGCTGATGTTTTAAAAATGCGTGTTTGGGTGAGTGGAAAGATGTGTACTGGGCTGAGTAATGATCGATAGCGGTTGCAACACGAAAGGAAACATTTCCACTTTCTCTGTTTGGACTGTCGTTGTGAAATGCTATCTGTAAAAATCGTAAAAACTATCTGTATTGCAATTACTTCACTTTTGTTCACATACAAGAACGTGTAACGCACTCTGCCTCTAACTTGCAATATTCGGAAGACAATGCTGGCAAATTGAGGGAAATTATTGTTATTGAAAAACAAGCCTTCGGCTTTTTACACAAAGCTTTATTTTGACGACAAGATGTTTCTTCGATTGTCCATGCCGCTGGTTCTGTTTCTCTTCGCTTGGCAAAGCGAGTCGACACCGACGGTCCAGCAGAACCGACTGAAGCTTCTCTACTACACCGCCTCAGACGACGGCAGCCATCACCTGACCAACACCAAGATTGCCGAAGCTCTCGTCAGGAAAGGACATGACGTCACCTTCCTCCTTAGCGACAGCTGCACAAAATGGCGGAACGCCAGCGGGGCTGACATGTTCAAGTTTGCCGTGCACCGGTCACTGTACACGGCGGAGGACCACAAACGGAACGCGCGAGGGCTGTCTCGACATGCTCTGCGTGGGGAGCTGAGAGGCGTGGTGAACGCGACGAAATTCTTCCTGAGGCTGAGGTACTCCGCGGATAGTCAGGGTCGCCGCGCGTGGTTCAACTTTCTATGGAGCGAGTGCGATAGCCTGCTGGGGGACAACGCGACGATCCAGGCGCTGAGAGAAGAGAGCTTCGATCTGCTGATCGGGGACGATTTGTCTGATTGCCAGCCGCTGCTAGCAGAGACTCTGGGAATCAAATTTGTCTTGGTCAGTGAAAACCTCATCCCGACAAAAGGAAGTTGGTATGTTCAAGCAAACCTTCTTTTAGTGTATTAGATCGGAATATATAATTGGTCATATTTCTTCCCACCAAACACGTCGATGCCCTGCCTACCCAACACACCACACGATGTAATGATTTTGTTGTAAGATCAATGAAGTGTCAGTGATCGGGTAGTCAAGATCGCTAGCCTTACCATTTAAAGTTGTCCCTTCATACTGGAGAAATTAATATCCCACATAATATCTAATGTACACTGGCGCGGATACTCAACAAAACGTGACCCCTTTGAATTTGGCAAGCAGACTTAATTTCTACAGAAATATTTACTTCGCATGTAATCACGCAGATTCCGAGTCTTGCCTTTAAAAGTGAGGTAGTAGAGACTTGGAACAGAGACCAACCGAAACCAGAAGATTTAAAGAACGAGACCCGGACAAAGACGGAAAACGGAGAAGGGAGAGGCAAAGAAGGGAGGGGGTAGCCGCGGACGGGTATAATGATGGGCGCGCTGAACGCGCTCTGTGCAGACGCCCGACATGCGTATGTTTCCATCAGTACGGTAATACCACCAGAAAAGATCTCGATACGGCATTGCAAAATAATATTGTACGTCTTTAGTAAATAGTTTCAGTCTTCTTTTCCTGGTAGGTATGGCATTCCAAACCATCCAGCCTACATACCCGAGCGCCAGGCAGGTCTAACCGACACGATGAACCTGCCGCAGCGCATCATAAACACCTGTCGCTACGTCGTCAACGGTCTGGCCAGGCGAGTCGCGCTTTGGAAGTTTGAGGATCTCCAGCGAAAGTACAACCTGAGCCCGGAGAAGCGGATGCCGGAGATGTTGGCCCAGGCTCAGCTCTGGCTGTTCTACGGGAAATTTGGGCTGGAGTTCTCCCGACCCTTGCAGCCCAACACTGTGATGCTTGCCTCGCCCATGCTGGGTCTCTCTACCGACGAAATGGTAAGAGCAACCACCCCATCCCGCAAAAAAAGATGTGGTCGATTAACAGAGACTTTGAAGTTGTCATTCGGACGACTTTAGGTTGTACGGCACCAATGGGCTAAAAGCAGGTGGTCCATGCTTTGCGTAGAAATACCCAATTATAAATTTAAACCTAGGTTAGCAGCTAACTGCACAAGCCTAATTTTCAGCTCTTAAAGGGAAGATACAACATTTGCAAACATCAAAAAACGAAATGATCAAATTATCAGGAAATACCTTACTGAATTGTTAGGGACTGTCATTCTAAAGCATCCTTTAAAATCGTGGCTCCTGGTGTGCTGACATTTTGAACAAAATCTGTATTTTTCCAACGCTGGTCGGCCGACCAGTGTTAGAGAAAACTGGCTTTTTTCCCAACAACTGTTCCTAATTTTTCATATTTAGTTTTTCTGACTTTTCTTTGCAATTGATTACACACCTATGAGGGGGTACAAGCCTGCTAGGCTGATTCTCTGACCTTACAATTCCCCAAAGTGAATTATTTGCTCCGTTTCATCTTAAGTGGGGTAAGGGAACCAGACTACAAGAACATGATAGGTTTTCTTGGTTTTTAGTCCAAAACGTGAAACAAGTCAGTTTAACAATATTTTCTTTAACATACTAATCCTCCAAATCCATTTGTTTCTGAAAATTCCAGCAAAAGCAAATGTTGTACATTCCCTTTAATGTATGCCCAACATATTAATTTTCAAAGCAACAGTTTACGTTATTTAACTGACACTGCTTTTCCTATCTGGTCTCTGAACATTGTGTGTATCGATTGGTATGAATTGCATTAATAAAAGCTGCGCCTATGGACAGGTCATTAAAGCCTTAAGATGGTTCTTTTCATCTCTCTTTTTTTTTTTTTTTTTTTTTTTTTTCTTCAGTACCTTACTATCACCCGATTAGTCCTTAAATGATAACCACCACACACAGGTGTATTTCTTCTGTCACTTAGATACCGAAGGACCAGCAGGAATTCCTTGATGCCGCTGACGAGGGCGTCGTCCTGTTTACGCTTGGCAGTCACGTGAACGAGATGGAAACTGCGCAGGCCCAAAAGTTTGCCAACGGATTGGCCAAGCTGAAGCAGCGCGTCATCTGGCAGTTCCCTGGCAGCGTTACGCATTTGCATATCGGGAACAACACAAAGGTTGTACAATGGATGGCCCAGCAGAAGATAATGGGTGGGTTTCTGCTGAAAGTGCCATATTCACGTGATACAATTAAAAGGCCATGTAGTCTCCGTTTACACCGCACTTATCACAAAGTGAGAAGGAGCACCTACGGGCGCGTTCAACCATCACTGCGCTGCCGGCCTTGTTCATCCGAAGACCCAAATCCTTAAATCTATGCGTACTACACTCGGTCACATTTTGGTATAATTCAGCAATTAATTTCGCTCACGTTTAATAAAATTATTCAGGACCATCACTTCTGTCATCCACAAAAAGAGGAAGAAATGTACGTGATCGTGGGAATGATCTCTCAACGAATAGAATGGTTCTGAAAAGAACCAGAGGTATAAACTCGACGTTCCTAGGAGTCAGTATGCTCTGACCGTCTTCAGGAGAGTGCCTAAACTCTACAGTTTTTTCCCCGAATATTACCTATCAAAACTGGTTTGTCGCGGTCGTCATGACAATTATCATAATGTTAAAAAAGAGCTATCAATTCTATCTGTGCCAGCGTCATGGTTTCTAAGGCAAAGTCCTGGTACCAGCAACATCTCTAGATTTAAAGTAGAATCATTTCATATGCTAATATAACACTCCTGGAACCCGAACGATTTAGCCAAAGGTGTGGTACTGATTTGTTTCACTCGGCCACTTCGAAGGAAACCCATTGTCATTTGCATTAATAGCACCCTCTTCCGGGCTTTTGAACCACCACATAAAGTATCGAGAACAAACGATATAGGATCGTTCGATGCAATTTGAAGCTTCCTTGTCATGGATTAACATACAATTAGAATGGAGGAAGACCTTAAAAACACCCTACTCCGCATTTATACCATTATACATGTAGTATCTTTACATGTTTTTGCCCTTAACATTCTCAGCTCATAGGAACACCAAGGCGCTGTTGAGCCACGGTGGTCGGAACGGCATGTACGAGGCGGCTTGGTACGGCCTACCCATGGTCGGTATACCCCTCTTCGGTGACCACTTCGACAACATGGAGCGAGCAGTCGCTAAGGGGATGGCTCTGCAGTTGGACATCACCACGTTGACAGAGGACGCCCTCTACGACACGGTCACCAGCGTCATCACCGATCCAAGGTTCGTAAAATGTGTGTGTTATCAAGTGTGCCGCAGTTAGTGCCGTTCCTTAGTTTTCGTTGCAAATATAAATGAAAATACTATAGTCTCTCTTCCAACTTCATCTGTTGTAGAGTTTGTTTAAGTCGAATGACCCCTGCTGTGTTTTTTTAATTGCCGCGTTGCAATTTTCCCATGCCTGGCACACTACTGTCATAAGAAGCAGTCAAGCAAGGGAAACGTGTAGACCCCACTGTAGCATATGTTGTGCACACGGTGACCGTTTTAGCCGATTTTCGGCTAACTTTGACACATTTTGTGTTTAAAAAACGACTTTGACAGAAAATTTGAATAATTGGAATTTGGCAGATTTCTGGCAGAATTCTGCAAAAATGAATATTTGACAGGAAAACATTTCAAATTTGAAAAAAAATGGTACATTTGTTTAAAAACGCTTCTGTCAATCTTTTCAACAAACCCTTGCATAATGGAACAGGTTGGCTGGCATAGGTGCTGAGGTTCACTGGGAGCCGGACTTTGTCCATCGTGAAGCAATCCGGCATTTACCTGAAATGTACGCATTTCCATAACATCTTTATGTGACTATAGGTTGATTATAATGTTACTTGAACCTTAAATAAGGCAATACTTCAACATCTGAAAGTGATTTTAAGTGTTTATATTGTATTTCGAGTGATTCTGGGGAATTAGGCAGATTTTTGATGAATCTGACAGATTTTTGAATTGCGTTTAGCAGAATTTGGCCACGACCTTACGGTCACCCTGGTTGTGCATTTGGAAGTACCAAGGCTGTTCCGTAACATGACGGTCTCACCAAACAATAGGTTTTTATCTGTTGAAAGCAGAGTATGATGTCTCTCTGATAGAGTGAAATGACTTTGTGTTGGCCATTTCAACACATAATGAGGAAAAAACACCATGAGAAATTCATCAAGCTAACCCGGAGCAGGTATCGTACGCGTACTTGGAGGACAAGGGCCCAATAAGCATACGTAAATGGTGTCCCAAATTGAGTCCCGATAATTGGGCCGACAGCGGCGTCGTTTGTCAACGGCTCCTGCACACACACAAAAGGAAAATTGCGTAGAAAAAAACTGATACACATTGGGATAGATCTTTATCTGCCGGACCACCAGTTTGTGCATTATTTTTTTTTTTTGGCATTTACGTTCTACCATATGTATTCCTCTACAGATATCGCGAGAGGGCGCAGCACATCTCACGCCTGCTCCGCGACGATCCAGTCATTCCGTCCGAGAAGGCAGCTCACTGGATCGCCCAAGTGGGCAAGTACGGCGGGGAGTACTTGCGCCCTCGTGCGGCCGACCTCAGCTGGATCCAGTACCACCTGCTGGACGTGTACGTTTCCCTGTTCGCCATTTTGTTCGGTGTGCTTGGTGTGTTGCTACTAGGCTGCAAGGGTATTCTTTGGCTGGCGTCCCACAACCGCAGGCAACAGAAGATAAAAATCAACTAAAGGAATTAATGAATCTAGAACTATTCACAGCTTTTAAAGTAACGCACATAGGGATAGAATTGCCTTTTATGACGATTGGGAGATAATGACAGTTTGTAATTTTAATTAAAATTAAGTACGGAGGAATTAGCTGTTGTGTGTGGTTTTCGTATTTGTAATTACATGTATATGTTTTGTTTGGCAACGTTGAGTGTTTAAACAAAAATAGTTATGGTTAAAGTAAATATTATAGTAATCAAGAATCCAACCGTGCAGATATTATTTTCTTAATAGTTGTAATTAAGTTTTTAGAAGGTATTAGGAATATTTAATATTTCACGAAACTAAATGAACCTCCCACATCTTAATGGTAGATCAGGGATGGTCCGTGAGTCATTCACATCCCTTACCGTAGAAACAACGTTCTCCTGTCTTTTGATTTCTTGTGATGAAAGTTTTATTGTGTTTTACCTGGCTTTTGGATATTTGTCTGTGTGGGCGTGTCCATCTATTCAAACCGTGGACGAAAAATACCAGTGAACAAAAGAGAACAACATCGTCCACGATTCCCAGCATACGTCCACGATTGGGGTCGTGTACAAAACATATAGGAGTCTTCCTAACAAGTTAGTACAAACAAAAGAGGAACAATAGGACGTCCACGATCGACGGTGTGACCATGGGTGTGTGTGTATGTGGACAAGCATTACATTCACTGTGTGTGGACTTCCGAACAAAAGATGTCCACATAAACCATGTAGCAGCGACGTTGTGTGGACTTGCCCACGTCCACAAAAGGTTTTCCCGTCTTTGGAAAACAGATTTGAGGCATTTTGGGGTTAGGTTTATCTGTTGCAAAATGAAAAGAAAGCTTAAGAAAATCATTGAAAAAAGGGGGGTTGAAAGAGTTTTCACAGTTTGAGAAAAATTAGGTTTTTTTTACTGTTTTTTGTTAGCTACACGAAAACAAAGGAATGTCCACACTGGGTTTGTAAAACAAACAGGTGCGTGTGTGTGTAAAACGCTATATCAAATGTTATAATAAGCAAGGTCTTGTTTGCATTAATAAATTGTGACAAAATAATAATTGTGATATTTTGTGCTCAATCTCAATGCAATTATTATGTGGATGCCTCATTTCTCGGCACGTTCTTCTCGTTCAAGAGGTTTTCGGAATCAAGCTTACTGATATCAGACAAAGTTTGCTCCAACACTAGTCAGGCACATATGTTGTATTTTCTAGTCTCAATAGTAAGCTTGGCCTTCTTACAAAAATGCGGGACTGTACAAATATAACAATGTCATCATAAGTGACTGGGTTAAATCACGAAAACATGTCCTTCAAAGACAAACATGCCTTGTTTTATTGATTTGATTCCTACAAATGCTTTGGAATAACGGATGCTATAGTTTGAGTAACATGTTTCTCCTAGACTTGAACGCAAGTCAGTAGACAATTGTGTTTTGTCTATTGGCGCCCCTAATATCTATACGAGCACGGCACGGTGTATCATGCTAATTATCATTTGCTGGCTTCGACATGTCTATAGCGACTTGACTTGGCTAGTATGAGTTCAGACAGATATTTATTTATGCTCCCCCGCGAAATGCATGTGCAATACGATTCCATAGACAGGGCCAATGATAGCTCACCTGAATCGGTTAGGATGCATCAATTATTAGAGTTGGGATATCTTTCTCTTGATCATATCAGTGTACGTTTCTCTCCTTTTATACCGGAAGATTTCATTAGAATATTAAACTCAGTGGTATAAACAAATCGTCACCGACACTACGAAGTAACACTCCACGTGTTAAACCATATTTTTTTCTTCTATTTTTAGTTTTTTACATTTTAAAACATTATTCATCAAGGCCTACCATTGCACGAAGTTTCAAAGCTTCAAGAGCTTCACTTTAATAATTGCGCTAGTTATCCATGACAACTTTTCCGCAAAAGTGACAATTTTCGTTTTCACGAAGTAACCCTCAAGTTCCATTTGCCATTGTAGTGCATGGCGCGCCCTCTGCTCAAATGCGAGCAAAACGTTTTCACGAAGTAACACTCTCCTTGTTTGAGCGCGCGCGCGCTGACCCGAAGTCACACTCACCTAGTGTTGTAAAACGTTGAAGTGTACTACTTCGTTAAAAAAAAAAAAAAGTTTCGCAGCTTTTTCGGTTTCACGAACTAGCACTCACATTTGTTCTGTTATTTCTTGTTGATTTAATATACAAACGGGTGAAAAACAGCAGATTTATTAATTTCAATACATCAAGTGTCCACAACGAGAAACCCAACTTAAAATACTCTGAAGTTTCGACGCAAAGTGTTGTTTTAGAAGGCGTTCAACTTTCGACGCCGTTTTCTCCGATTGCTAGTTTTTACTGTACATGGGTGTTACTTCGTGGTGTCGCTGACGAAATATATTCGAAATTATGTCAAATTATTGTTTTCCGAATAATACACAAATATGATGGAATACAAAACGGCCCAGGAATGAGAATGTTACCCCTCAAGGAATGGGTTCGCTCCGGGATGTCTTGCATTCACCGTGTACCGTGCACGTGCAAAACTGCGTAAACTATAAGGTGTAGTGAATATTCATATGCTCCCGATTAATTCTTAACCAACTAGACTGCTCAGTCCAAATGTAGTAGCAACCGCCATACGTTTTGTGCAAAGCCGAGAACAGATTATTAAAGTCGGTCAATGGAATCGACCTACACGGATATTGGAACCGAGGATGCACGAACCGTCCCCGCACGTAAGTGCCATACTACTTGCTAATCGTATTTATACCCTAGGAGGGTATGCAGTATCTGTCCACGCCGGTTCGCGGCGGGCTAACTAAACCCAGCCAATTACCGACTTGGTTTCAAGTCCATGTTTCTACCCATGCGAGAAGCGTCAGTCATAGTGTCTGGTTTTGCATAATTCTGCTTCTGGCACTTTACGGTACATTAACTGTGACGGCCAAGTGGATTGTTAAAATGAAACAAGATCAACCACTGTCTTAGAAACTCGACAAATAAACGGGTCGTCGTTAATTCTGCATCACCTTTTTCTGTAAATTCCAGTGATTGTGGAAACTGCGGACTGAAATCCCGATTTCTTCTACTCGTGACATTGTTTTTTTCCCCAAAAATAATCATGTGACAGAATTATCGCTGATGACCACGTACAGCATGTACACGTACTAACTGTACTGCAATTCCTTAACCTTTGCTCTCGTACAGGAACATGTAATGCACTCTGCCTCTAACTTGCAATATTCGAAAGACAATCCTGATAGACCTAGCCTGCGAAATACATTGTCTGGCAGAGATTCTTTATATCCGTAGTTTGTCTTCGTTACGCATAGCGTTATTGTCACAATAGCGTTATTGTGACGGTACGACAAGATGTTTTTTCGATTTTACATGCCGCTAGTTATGTTTCTCCTCGCTGGGCAATGTGAGCCGACACCGACGGTCCAACAGAAGCGACTGAAGCTTCTCTACTACACCGACTCAGACGACGGCAGCCATCACCTGACCAACACCAAGATCGCCGCAGCTCTCGTCAAAAAAAGACATGACGTCACCTTCCTCCTTAGCGACAGCTGCACAAAATGGCGGAACGCCAGCGGGGCTGACATGTTTAGGTTCGCCGTGCATCGTTCGCTGTACACGGCGGAGGAGCGAGAACGGAACGCGCGAGGAATGTCTCGACATGCTCTGCGTGGGAAGCTGAGGGGCGCGGTGAACGCGATGAAATTCCTCCTGAGGCTAAGGTACTCCGCGGAATATCAGGGTCATCGCGAGTTGTTCAACTTTCTATGGAGCGAGTGCGATAGCCTGCTGGGGGACAACGCGACAATCCACTCGCTGAGGGAGGAGAGCTTCGACCTGCTGATCGGGGACGATTTGTCTGATTGCCAGCGGCTGCTAGCTGAAATGTTGGGAATCAAATTTGTCCTGGTCAGCGGAACAGGCATCACCCCTTCCAAGTAAAGTAACTACCAGTATAAAGTGGGAATTATAGACGTGTCCGGGCACATGATCACTGTACACTCCCTTCAACGGCGACAAAATTATGACAATTGTTCCATGAATGTTATCCTGAAGAACGCTTTCGCTATGAATGTGGCCTCCGTGCTAGAAGAGATAGCCTTCCCGTGCTCATGACGTATCGGCCTTTGTGCACTCAGCTTCTGGCGGAGGGGGGGGGGGGGGCTACAACGGCAACCGTACCCCATTTTAAAATTAAAGCAGGGAAGGGAAAAGACGACTGCTGTTCAATTGATACTGTGGCCTACTGGTCCACTTTCACTGAAATACCAGAAAAGGGGAAAAGAGCGCCACCCTGCGTTAAATGAGGTCAAGCTAAAGACCGATCCTGCGTGGCTGGGTAAACATGTGGTTCTTCATCAACAGTTGCACTTGGCTTGCATTTGATACGGAGGATATTGCATCCTCCCACCCCTAATTTTGTATTGAGGTATTGGTCATTGGAAAAAAAGAACAAAGTTTATTACATGTAATTATGTAACAAGACAAGTCACACGAAAAGTAAGGCTGTGCACGAATCACTTAGCTACGGCTGAAAATAACACGCGCACCACCCCTTTGGAAGCCACTAGCCTGCGGCTGCCGCCAATGGACCGATCCATGGCACTGCCCCATGGTGTACTGACCAATCACAGCCGTGATTTATGTCCGACGTGCGTCCACAGAAGTCCGACATGCGTGCACGCGCGTATGATGCGCGCGGCAGGAAAATGCAGAGTGGCATTGGAGAGGAGCACGTGGTAATTTGCCCACGTGCGCAGTGGGCGGGGCTTACTGGATCGGTCCATTCCCATAGACTCGTGTGTTACTGTTATAATCGGTCGGTCGTACGTGATTCGAACACGACCCAATAGTACTACCGAATTGGCTCAAACATCACACTCTGGTTTTAAAGAGTCATAAATCATGAAACACTAACGGTCCAATGCCATTCATAGGACAGGTACCAGCAGAACTAGTTTTGATTTTTATCAATTCGTCACCAATCAATCAATGTAAGTTGCAGATTGAAAACAAATCCCTTCCAAAGTTTAAAATCGATTCGATTTTTGCAGTGAAAATAGTGTCTGAGCATCACAAGTAGATATTACCAGTTTTCATAACATCTTGAATCTCAAGGGAACAACATGATTAACCAGAGTGTAACACTGTTTAATCGAAGTCAAAGTGCGCTTATAAACAACAGGGTGTTATTTACTGAAAATGTAGAGCTAAACACGCAAGTGTATACCACGTAGGCCGGTATGCCAAATACATGTACTATTTCTGCAGTAAGATTTTAATATGGTCTTAAATGAAAGTAGACGTAATTATATATTGCAAGATTATATAATCATATCATCCGGTTACGACCCAGTTTAACCACATTAACTCTACAGGGCCCAATTTCGTGGCTGCTAAGCACATGATTTTCTGCTAACAGAACCCCGGTCTTTTTTATGGAGGCTTTAAGCAACAGGCACACCAAACAAAGTTCGCTCACTTCAGAGAAAAAAAGAAGATGTTTTAATCCCTCACGTATGCACGCGCAACCGTTACCACTTTCACGCCATGAAATAAGGTTGGCTAAACTTTCCGCTATACAGGTTGAGTAAAAATAAATGAAACCCAAATGTCGGGACCACTTTTGTAGTGAAGTTCTGCATGCAGCACTTTTACAATATAGGATATGAAAGCCCAATTCATAAGCTTTTGTTAAGTACAAGGATCATTAAAATCACTCATGTACTTTTCAAGTTACGGAATTTTGAACACAAACACCGTTTTAAAGTTCTGTCCACGGATCACATACAAAAGACATGTGGTCGTTCAGCAAACGAAACCAATTCTCATGTATGTGATGTACTTGAAAAGTACAAGAGTGATTTGAATGATTCTTGTACTAAAAGAAAGCTTATTAATTGGGCTTTCATATCCTAGATTCTGAAAGTGCTACATGCAGAACTTCATTAAAGCAATCCCGACATTTGGGTTTCTTTTTTTTTATACTCACCCTGTAGTTAGAACAACGTTTCTGCTTATTGTTAAGTAGCACTATGAATTTGGGCCCTGGTTGTAATAAGAAATAAAGGCTTTCAGAGCCATCAATCATTGAGGATATGACCTTTGAAAGTAACTTTTAAGATAAACAGTTATTTGTGTGACAGCTCATTTACATATTTCTCCTGCACAGCGCCCTCGCTTGACCCTTAAGGTAAAGCTCACACTTATCCTTTGTCTTGAGTGAGTCATTCCACCACTAGCACTGGTACTGTAAACACCACACAGTGTCCTGCCACTTCTACACATGTACTTAGTTAATGCCTCAAGATTTTGTGGATGACTCGACTGGGGGTTTGTTTTGTTTGTGTAAGATGCAGTTCACCATTAAATGAACCAGTCACAGTAAATGTACACCATCCTTGTCGTGTCACATTTCCCAGTGTCACATTAAATGTGAAAAATGAATTAATATCACAAAAAAGGACTATGGAGAAATAACATAACTAAATAAATGCTAAACAAATATGCAGATGGCATGCTTAATTAAGTGTAAAAAGAGAAATATGAGTAATATATGCTGCATCACATAAACGTAAGGACTAGTGTGCCAGTCTAATAAGACACTACTGGTATCTTAGGTCACACGCTCCAATAAACACTGAACAAAAGAAATCTCTGCAGGGTAATAAACATACTTGGCAGACTTCCTGCCTCCCTGTACTAAGGTATGGTGTCTTCCAAGAAACTGTGTGCACCTCATTATATATGCAGCAACTTAGGGGATTAAGGGTCTAAACAGTGGCTATACTACACTGCACTATGGACATCTACACAGGACAAAGGAACTATGAATTTATACACTAAAAGTATAAATCTAAGAATATGTTCATAAAAAAGTGGAAAATAGATGATGAGGAATATATTGTAAAATAAGGAAATCTATTCTTGAACTTTGTGTACTCAAGAAGTTAACTAAAATAATGTGAACAAGAAATAAAGTGGATATACATGTACACATAATCAAAGTTAGGGAAATCTAAATCCTTCAAATCCATGGAAATAGATTATATCTCTAAACACAGAAGGTCATCAAAAGGATGATCTTTCCTAAATATGCAATAATAAATACAACAACACAGTGCATCTGGGCTTCCTAAAGGCCATCAAAGAATGAATCCACTTTAAATTCAGTAATCAGAGTAAAGTTTAAGAATACTCCAGCTAACTTCAGAATTAATCAAAAAGTGTTCACAAAGTCTAAATAAAAAGAAACTTAGGAACTTCAGCAATAAGAACAACTATTAAAACAATATAAATGAATTCTTACCCCAGTCGAGTCATCCACAAAATCTTGAGGCATTAACTAAGTACATGTGTAGAAGTGGCAGGACACTGTGTGGTGTTTACAGTACCAGTGCTAGTGGTGGAATGACTCACTCAAGACAAAGGATAAGTGTGAGCTTTACCTTAAGGGTCAAGCGAGGGCGCTGTGCAGGAGAAATATGTAAATGAGCTGTCACATACTCCCCTGCTCTAAGGTTGGCGTCCCGACAACCTAAACTGATAAAAAGATTAATACACAAAACAAAGTACAATTAACTATTTACAAAAAAATCATTTTGGCTGGACTCCGGCCAACATCTGCACCAACAGCAGCTGCGTTCAGCTGATGTCCGCCAGTACACGTGGGTCTATCGCAGGTGCTGGGACAGGCATTGCTGGAGTCTCCGACTGGATGACAGACTTCGGGAGGTGATGGGGATTGGAGTGTTGTCCCGCTCCAGCACGGCTGGTGTGGCGCAACTGCTCCGCTTTGGCAAGTGGGACCTCCTCCTCTGTAGTGGGCTCCGGTGAAGAATCTTCCACTTCTGATGAGGGTTGAGGGGCTAGATCGTCAGGGTGGTGCTCCCCTGCTTTGTGTAAAGCAGCGGGTGCTCTCTCTGGATCTCGCACATCTGAAGATTGAGGGGTTTGGTTCCTGGGGTGGTGCTCCCCTGCTTTGTGAAAAGCAGCAGGTGCACCCTCTGGCTCTGGTTGACCTGTTGGCATCGCCGGAGTCTCACCTTCGGTCTCCAGTACCTTTTTATGGCTTACTCCATATATGTACATGGATCGCTCGGTTTCTCAGGCTTCCCTCTGAAGCGGTCCAGCCGTCTCCCTGCTGCTACATAGATCTGCTTCACTGGTGGGGTAGTGGAGCTGACGCCTGCTGTGGCCTTCTCGCGCTCCTCCTTCTCTGCCTGAAGAGCTACCTTCATCGCCTCAAGCTCGGCCCGCAGTTGCTCCATTCCCTCCATTCTTGATAACTGTAGCAGCTCGTCTCGGGGTCAGTTGTCTGCCGTTAGTTTCGCCTCATCCTCGACTGGGGGTAGATGCAGTATTAGTACACCATCCTGTCTACGACGCCAAATGTGACACTGGAAAATGTGACACGACAAGGATGGTGTACATTTACTGTGTCTGGTTCATTTAATGGTGAACTGCATCTTACACAAACAAAACAAACCCTGAAAAGATACAAAATAGAAATTCCATATAAATACAATGCTTTAGGAAATACCAATCCAGCAAAGTAAATTATAAAAAGAACAATAATAATCCTCAGAGAATCTAATGCAATCAAAAGAGATAAATCGAACTCGATAACACAATTTGCTTCTAACCGTAAAGTCAAGTTAAATTCCAAAATGAATTAATACAAGGCATGTGAATGCTTTAACTTGCAAAGACAAAATAGGAAATAACTAAAGCACATGTGCAGTGACCTCTAAATATATATGACTATGGACTCAGCAAACCATAGACTTAAATCAGTCCACTCATCATTATAACCTAAGGATCCATAAAGAAACTAACTTAGGAAAAATGAATTAATATCACAAAAAAGGACTATGGAGAAATAACATAACTAAATAAATGCTAAACAAATATGCAGATGGCATGCTTAATTAAGTGTAAAAAGAGAAATATGAGTAATATATGCTGCATCACATAAACGTAAGGACTAGTGTGCCAGTCTAATAAGACACTACTGGTATCTTAGGTCACACGCTCCAATAAACACTGAACAAAAGAAATCTCTGCAGGGTAATAAACATACTTGGCAGACTTCCTGCCTCCCTGTACTAAGGTATGGTGTCTTCCAAGAAACTGTGTGCACCTCATTATATATGCAGCAACTTAGGGGATTAAGGGTCTAAACAGTGGCTATACTACACTGCACTATGGACATCTACACAGGACAAAGGAACTATGAATTTATACACTAAAAGTATAAATCTAAGAATATGTTCATAAAAAAGTGGAAAATAGATGATGAGGAATATATTGTAAAATAAGGAAATCTATTCTTGAACTTTGTGTACTCAAGAAGTTAACTAAATGTGAACAAGAAATAAAGTGGATATACATGTACACATAATCAAAGTTAGGGAAATCTAAATCCTTCAAATCCATGGAAATAGATTATATCTCTAAACACAGAAGGTCATCAAAAGGATGATCTTTCCTAAATATGCAATAATAAATACAACAACACAGTGCATCTGGGCTTCCTAAAGGCCATCAAAGAATGAATCCACTTTAAATTCAGTAATCAGAGTAAAGTTTAAGAATACTCCAGCTAACTTCAGAATTAATCAAAAAGTGTTCACAAAGTCTAAATAAAAAGAAACTTAGGAACTTCAGCAATAAGAACAACTATTAAAACAATATAAATGAATTCTTACCCCAGTCGAGTCATCCACAAAATCTTGAGGCATTAACTAAGTACATGTGTAGAAGTGGCAGGACACTGTGTGGTGTTTACAGTACCAGTGCTAGTGGTGGAATGACTCACTCAAGACAAAGGATAAGTGTGAGCTTTACCTTAAGGGTCAAGCGAGGGCGCTGTGCAGGAGAAATATGTAAATGAGCTGTCACATTTGCTATTGCTCGAAATCCATGGGAATTCATTGAAACACGTCCGGATTCTTGGGCATCTCTGAAAATAGTAAAAGAGTTTCTTAAAGGGTAGTAGTGTGGATGAATCATCAGCATTTTACTATTGGAATCTGAAATATTTAGAATCTGAAATATTTCTCATAATTCTGTTGGAACGCATGTTGCTCATGTACACATTGTGCAATAATGTTTACAATTCCGAGGGCTGTTTTATTATTATTTATATCAGAAATAGTCACAGACCTTGGTAGAATATTTCAACAACACGCTTTGTTGTGGAGCATGAATCAGCCTGCAAAACGGCTGTTAGGCTCAGATCGGTGGACACAAGCGAAGTTCTATTTCTACAATCCATCCATGCATTATCTGTTCTTTATTGTTAATAAATGACAGTGCATTGACAAAAGCATTGAAAACTGCATTCAATCAAATTCCATTATCGTTTATGTCCTCGACGTCGTCTTAGTTGGGTTTTTTTTCGTCGGCGCTGCCAATATCAACTTCCGCAGAAGATGCTCAAACGGGCCCGCGTCACCGCATGTTATGAATAGGGAACATTTGCAATAGTACGCGTACGGATGCGTATGCAAATATCTACCCTGTTTGATTTATTTCGCCCCGCGAGGCGAGAAACCCACTGTGTGAGGTCAACCTGAGCTACGTGCTGAACTAAAAAGATTAACTAGCCAATGAAATCACAGACTCTGTACACTTGATTCTAGGAAATGTTAGTGCAAATCTTCTAAAGCCTGCTGGCCTTGTCCCTATGTTTTTTTTAAATCACGCGACCACATTACATTACATTGGTACGTAAATCTGTTTAGGTAAGCACGTAGCTCAGGTTGACCGCACACGGTTGAGTTTTTCGCCTAGCGAAGCCAAAGAAATCAAACAGGATAGATATTTGCCTCACGGCCTCGCGAGGTAACACAACTCAGCAAAAACTCACTGTAAACGGTGAGTTACGTGCTGAGCAAACGGCCTCGAATTACTTTTTGCTCAGCACGTAGCACTCGTGTGCAGCGGCGGGCTTAAAGGAGGTGATGCACTACGCATACGTGGCTGGAAAGACACCATCGTTCCGAAATGGGCAACTGTACATTGCTGGTCACAGATAAACTCACCAGCCCTCCTCGCCTCCTGGACTGATGGGTGCACACCGGTAAATAGGCCAAAACTCATCCACCGAGCTAATGAATAAAAGTTATACCCTCAAACTATTCTATATTAATGAGTTCCGATGGCCATAAAATGAGGGAATTTAGTGATATGGCAACAAACCTCTGGCCCGGACTTGGGGCTTCCAACTCTGAGCATTTTGGATGCAACTGGGCTCGAAAGTGGCACTATTTTGCCATTTTGTGGAGGGATCGTTTTTCAAGATAGCTACTTTTCCGCTTTGAAGAAAAAAGGAGTCGTCTTGTTTGTGTGAGAATATCTCGAAAAGACAATAGTCAACCCACCAAAAAAATGAAAAGAAAATGAAAGATGACATGTTGATCATCATTTTTACGTACAGCTTAAATACCTGTGAGAGTTCTGAGTATTTAAAAAAGAATTTTGAAGTATGGGCATTTAGCAGCACTAGTGTCTATGGAAATTTTAATACAAGGTTGCACCCTGATTGACATGGACACAACTGTATTCACTTGGTGTAAAGTCTAATCTTTTAATACTATAACCATACGGAGCATGATTGATATGGTGTCCGTTCTGTGTATCTGTCATCCTCCCTTGTTAGTGAAGTTCTTGTGTCAGTCCACTCTTATGTATATAATCCTGTCTGTTGTTTGTTTATGTAGTTCATTGATGTTTGTTTTTCCCGATTAGTAATTAGAAATGTATAAATGCCAATTTGATTTCCTTATCATATTTGTAGAGACCCGGTAAACAATAATCAACTTGTTTTGCGATTCTTGTAAATATTGGACTCATTTGTATTGTACAGATTTGCTTGCTTGTTAACCAAAAATCGTAATTACTTGTGCTGGTAGTAAGAGGTAGAGGCATTGTATTACAGTTATTCGGGGGACCTATTTTACGAGCTATTATCGGCTGGTTCCCGCTCTTTATTACCTAGTACTACATAACATTTACAACGCCTTAATTTATGCCAAAGTGATTGCTACATAAAGGCCTACAAGTGTAATGAGCCTGCACTTCCTTCGGCTTTCGTCCAGTTGGTGTACGGATGAGCTGAACCACGCCAAGCTAGCTGCGGACGTTAGGAATTTAGCTACAAAACGGTAAGAAGACCTCCATCCGTGTATTCATGATTCGTGTACATTATCATCGCAGTAATTTGTATTGAATACTTTGATATTGTATAAAAAAGACAAGTGACAACGCAGTTTGTGAACATTAACCTATAAAGAGCCAACGAAAATGTAGGGGTTGTTTTAAACGAAACTGATTTTCACGTCACAAATACAAGTGGCGATTAGCAATATGCAAATGCTGTTGAAAATGAATACTTCTGTCAAATTTGCATGTTGGGGGCTGAACTGAAAACCAACAAACAAAACGGGATTTGCTTACACGAAATGTTTTAATCGCACGCTTATGAATGGAATTAAATCTGTTAGAATGGACAACTTGAGAAATAGTATGGGAAAACTATTACATGTATTAAAAAAGGGACACAATTACACATTTTCTGAATTTCACCGAACAATTAACGTCATCATTCAATATTGGAAATGTTCATTCAACGATAGGCCTTTGCTCTTTTTATGCGTTGATTGCAACGTCTCATCCATACCCATAGAAACATCTCATACTTATACTAAGTAAAGTCTGTCCCGAGCCAATATGGCCCATTATCAGGCCAGCGTTTATCTCCGGTTTCATTGGCATGAAACGACTGAGAATATTTTTATTCCCCCTGGACTGGATGCTAATGCCGGTACCCATTTGTACTCCTGGGTGGAGAGAGGCAATTGAGGATGGAGTGGCTTGCGACGTATAGCTAGCAGCTGGATTCGAACCCCTGACCCTCTGATCATAACTGACCCTCTGCCACTGCCACTGTTATTACAAAGCCGTTCATCTCGGGTGCTAGTATGCTCCCTCGGGTGTTAACAACGGTATATCACACGTAACATCAGTCAACACTCGTTTTGTTACATCGTGCCAATGACTCAAAACAGATCAATGGCTGTAACTTACTGTGCGAGAAATAAATTAAATCACTGCGATCTAGGTAGTAATAACTGCAGGCTTTCCTGCCGGTGTAGCGTGAATATCCGACTCCATGAAATACGGACTCGTAGTACTGCGCTTGCGTGAGTTAATAATAGGCCTATTTATAGGCATATATAGGAGAGTGACTTGTCACGTGAGAGGGATTAGCCAATAAAAGGGAAAAGGAGTCCGATTTTCATAGGAGTTGGATTTTCATATGACACCGGGCATGAGGCTGAGCGGTTGCAGTTGTCAGTCTCGAGCGCCCAGGCAAGTTCTACACGCAAAACGCGCGCAATGAACGCAATGCAATATACATTTTTTTTATAAACTGGACATGTGGCTGTTCTAGGGCAATGAAATTACAGTATCTAACCACACAATATAACAATTTATAGTGAATTGGGCGTATTGGATTTTGTTTTATTCATGGACTTGCGTTACTCGAACTCAAACTAAATTCTCATCTATCTGAAACAACCAATCTCTATTTGGGGTTCAGGAGTTTTAATGTCTCATTTAAAGTTCAACATTTTAAATAATTTATATATTAAATTTAATTTAATATTTGCAGTTTTATGCAGATTAATAGATACATCGCAGGAAAATGGTCATTTGAAAGATTTGATTTGTTTCCATGGCGATATGACATTTTTCAAAGTAAAGCCATAACAAAATAACACCAGATTACTACTTCTCTCTCGATTCAAGACGTTTGGGCTTTAACTAAATACATACATAAACTTACCTTTTAGTTTACAAACAATTACAAACTTTCTTCTTGTTCATACCAGCGCAGTGATCGTTTACAAAGCACAGTTTCTGTTAATTCTTGAAAAAGAAGATCAAAATGTCAAATGTTGACATTAAATGTTAGAAACAATATTCTGTTGGTTAGATATAATTATGTGAAATGCATAAGAATGTACGTACTACCGGGTGAGTAAAAAAAAACGAAATCCAAATGTCGGGACCATTTTCTTAGTAAAGTTCTGCATTTAACACTTTCAAAATCTAGGATATAAAAGCCCATTTCATAAGCTTACTTTTAGTATTAGAATAATTTAAATCATATATGTACTTTTTAAATTACTGAATTGTAAACACAACCACCGTTTTAAAGTTTTGTCCACAGATCACCAAAAAGGTGTGCGTTCTTTCAGCAAAACGAAAACGAATCACATAGGGATGTGTGTCACTTGTTTTTGTTTTGTTGAAATTGCACGTACCTTTTTGTGGTCCGTCGACAGAACTTTAAAGCGGTAGTTGTGTTTAGCATTTCGTAACTTGAAAAGTACATGGATGATTTAAATGATTCTAATACTAAAAAAATCGCTTATGAATTGGGCTTTCATATCCTAGATTTTGAAACTGCTACATGTAGAACTTCACTAAGACTATGGTCCCGACATTTGGGTTTCGTTTTTTTTTTACTCACCTTGTATAACAACAAAGAAAGTTTCAAGCTGAAGCATTTGAACGTGTATTATTACAGTGACCAGTAACTTGAAACGCGACCAGCGATAAGGACCAGCATTTTTTTCACGCAGAATGCTACAGGCTATTGCACCTGATGCAATCAACACCAATAAAAATATTTTGAATCCAGAGTATCCTACCCGTTCCTATCAATTGTACGGGTAGCTAAAATTTACCTAAAATAAAACCATTGTCATTTGGTCGTTAATATACAGAACGTTGCGTAATCGTACAAAATAAAACGCCTCCACAAACCAGGCATAGGATATTAAATATAATAATGGAAATTTAAAATAGACGTTTAATACCCATCTGCGCTTCAGTACCGGTAACTGTTTGTGACTAATTTTACGAAGGACGCTTCGTTAGTCTCTGTTGCTCCAGATTTTTAAATTCTTTATGAGGAAACTTCCCCTATGTACTATACGCTGTAGCCCCCAAAAAGTTCGATATTGAGCAAATGGTCACTTAGCGGTTGACTATGATGTCTTCATCAAACCAACACAATAACATTTAAATGACGAAAAGATCACGGTTCCGGAAACAACTTGTAAGGTTTCATTATAGGAAAGTGCTTCAATGTAAACATTCATGCAACCATCCTCTTCACGGTGAACCCTTAGACAGTTAGACAAGTCCAACTTGTGAAACTAGTGAGACTAAAAACATCAGCAAATTCTTTATGGGTAATTTGGTAAACGTCGCCGTAAATGCTCAGAATGAGGTTACTTGTCCGTTAGCCAACCGACCAGAAGAGTAAGTCCAGCGTGGTTGTCCTACGTTCCTCATCCAACCGTTTGTAGAACATTGCCATAATCCTTTCAGGTGGCCAGATCTCATATCAATTCCCAAAATGTCCCTTTTTCGTTACAGAATAATATCATCTGCATGACGCAATGACGAGTCCCGACATAAGGATTCACCAGCTAGTTATTCTGCTAGTTATATTTTTACTCGGTGGACAATGCGAGTCCACACTGACGGTCCAACAGACGCAACTGAAGCTTCTCTACTACACCGCCTCAGACGGCGGCAGCCATCACCTGACCAGCACCAAGATCGCCGCAGCTCTCGTCAGGAACAGACATGACGTCACCTTCCTCCTTAGCGACAGCTGCACAAAATGGCGGAACGCCAGCGGGGCTGACATGTTTAGGTTCGCCGTGCATCGTTCGCTGTACACGGCGGAGGAGCGAGAACGGAACTTACGAGGAATGTCTCGACATGCTCTGCGTGGGGAGCTGAGGGGCGCGGTGAACGCGATGAAATTCCTCCTGAGGCTAAGGTACTCCGCGGAATATCAGGGTCATCGCGAGTTGTTCAACTTTCTATGGAGCGAGTGCGATAGCCTGCTGGGGGACAACGCGACAATCCACTCGCTGAGGGAGGAGAGCTTTGACCTGCTGATCGGGGACGATTTGTCTGATTGCCAGCCGCTGCTAGCTGAAATGTTGGGAATCAAATTTGTCCTGGTCAGCGGAACAGGCATCACCCCTTCCAAGGCAAGCTGGTGGGTACACAAACTTCTTACATAATTTCCTGTCTGACCTACTTGAGTGGGACCGCACCTTTCTTCTCCTGCAGTTTTTGCCATGCTGTATGTCACTTTACCATTCTTTTTTGCAGGCATGGCATTCCAAACCACCCAGCCTACATTCCCGAGCGCCAGGCCGGTCTAACCGACACGATGAGCCTGCCACAGCGCATCCTAAACACCTGTCGCTACGTCGTCATCGGTCTGGCAAGGCGAGTCGCGCTTTGGCGGTTTGAGGATCTGCAGAGGAAGTACAACCTGAGCCCGGAGAAGCGGATGGCGGAGATGCTGGCCCAGGCTCAGCTCTTGCTGTTCTACGGGGACTTTGGGCTGGAGTTCGCCCGACCCTTGCAGCCCAACACTGTGATGCTTGCCTCACCCATGCTGGGTCTTCCCTCCAACGAAAAGGTGAGACCCGTCAGTCAAGTGTGGTCTATGGAATATCCCGTTCGCATGTATAAAGAGTGCGGGACTGAATGTCTTAGAAAAAAATGGTTGAACAGAGGAGAATTATTTCGGACTCGACTCCTGTGTTTTATTTAGACACAACATACCTAGTCTCTTTTCGAGAAGCGTGGAATGGTAGGTTGTTATGGAGAGCGCCATCTGTTGGCGGAACATTAACATGTGTACATGTTCAATGCGGATATGTTACATCACCCCTCTAGTAGGATCATCTGTTGTATATAGTCCATCATAAAGAGGTCCGATGTCTTAACTTCTAACTGTACCAAACATATCAAATTTGAAATTTTAACTCTGGGTTGGCTAAAAAAAAAAACAATTTCATGGGGGGCCTAGGAGTGAAATGTTCCTTGACACTTTGACCAAAACTGTCAATTTAGGATTTCCTTTCTTCATAATTTTTTGAAAATTCCAAATTAAGAACCTTTGTTTCAGAGATTGTTATTATATAGTTCAGACATGTGAGATAGTGTGTGACCGATTACAATGATAGACTGTTCGGTTTTGTCACGACGCGTCCAGACCGCTTGACATACGGTTGTTCCTTGTCGGGGTTATGCTGATGCGGTTTGCCTTGTGAATGTTTGTTGTCTACACTTCGTGATGCAGGCTAGCTTTCCTGTGGGGGTGGTTGGGTTGGCTGGGGTGGCCGGGGCGATCGTGGAGTTTGACGGCGGTTTCTGCGAAGCATCCCGCCACTTGGTGTGCTGATCAGGTAAGATGGTATCTATTGATATTGCTGCTCAACTGTTGCGGGTGTCCTGTGACATGATGTTGCACTCGGACAGATTGTTTAGGTGTCAGTGCGTGTTGGTAGGTCATGCTTGTGTCTGCTGTAGTATGTTTTTTGTGTATCTTGCCGTTGCTGTAGGCGATCATGAATATCCCATAGAGCGGACGTGTTACGGATGCAAAGTGGTAGGCTTGCTTGGATTTTCCTTCCAGTTGCTCAGCAGGGCTTGGGATGACACTATCTACCGGTGTCTGCGAATGCTTCAACCTTCTTGAGCTCGTTTTTCACTGTCTGGATTGTACACTCAATCACCCCGTTCGACTGCGGGTAGTGTGGTGACGAAGTCCCATATGCAAATTATCGGTTTATCACGCAGTGAGGTGTGATAAGTGTGAGGTCACGCGAGCTTGGAAGTCCGATTATGGAAGGACCCTCTGACTCAACGATGTAGAACTCAGTGTTCACCCATTTGCCTCCATCATATCTGCACGGCAGCTGCAACGACCCATATTGCGGAATTTTGGTCCCATTGATATACGCCATGAAGGTTGTATGTGTTTCGGACGCAGTCTTTTCTTTGAAATCCACTGGCATCCAGTTTGCCAGCATACATGCGTCTGAACATACGGACTGAAAGGATATTTCCCAGCGCTGTAATGTCTATCTTGGCGCGTATGTTCACGAGAGTGTTGTCCCGTGTCACCTGTACTTAAGTTATGACTTCATTGCGTGAGTCAGGATCTTCTGTCACGCTGATGTTTGATACAAAAATAGAATGGAGAGTTAAGTTTTCAAACTGCTCCTCAAGTTGGTCACTGTCAACATGCTGCTGAATGGCGTGCACATTTTGTTTTGTAGAGGCTTTGGTGTGCGTGAGCGTGACCTTAAGTTTCCCTGCTGGTCCCTCCTCATTGCAAGAACGTGAACGCGATGGTCTGGCTACATGGGTGGGGGTTGTCCTTCCGGTGATCTGATTGGCACATCTCCCAGTAATTGGGTTTGTCACTCTTCCGGCACGCTGTTCGGTGTGCCGGACAGTTCTCACATCGTTTGAATTAATGATGTGCAAACCCGACCCGAAACCGAAACCGAAACCGACCCGAATCCAACTTCGGGTCGAGTCGGGTCGGTTTGTCCATCTTTTCAGTCGGGTCTGGTCGGTTTCGGTTTTGCAATTTCATTTTCGGGTCGGGTCGGTTTAGCCATATCTTGAAAAAAAACCTGAAATAAACCGAAAGAAACCGAAATTGAGGTGATGCAATATTATTGACAGTCACTGTGACCGCAGTCCATTGTGTGGTGTGGCCACCGAGTGCACTATCAAGTTCCCACGGTATTTATTTTTCCAGTCGGATGGGACTGACAGTGAAATAGATACATTGTAACAGTTTTCATGATACCGCGTGATGATACCATGCGTTTGTTAAATAAGCGGAGTTACTCTCGATCAACCAACTGAGTATGACAGAGAGAGAGACGATGGTTTTGCAAAAGAATTCATGCCACGTGGGTAAGGGCAGGCACAAAAAAAGTGATCATTTTGTCCAAGCAAGGTATTCGGGGGTTTTTTCGGATCGGGTCGGGTCGGGTCGGTTCGGGTCGGTTTTACCTTATTTTTTTGTCGGGTCGGGTCGGGTCGGTTTGAGGGAGTTAAGATCGGTTTCGGTTCGGATTCGGTTTATATCTCTAATGTTTTGGGTCGGTTTGGCCTGGTCAACTCGACCCGATGCACATCATTAGTTAGAATGAGTGGAATCCTCCACAGTACGTTGTGACATTTATTTGACGTGGGCAACATTACTCATGTCAGGAATATCTGAGTTCAGTACACCAGCCACTTCTTTCATTTGAGTGATAGCGGCTTCATGTGTGCGGCCTTGATCAATTGTCTGATCGAGTGTCAGAGTCTTTGGTTTGCCCAGCAGCTTTTTCTTGTTTTGTAGCTCTGGGTATCAAACGCGCAAAGTAAAACGCATTTTGAAAACGTACACATGGATTTTTTTTGGTCTTAAAACGTTTGGCCTTTTTGTCACTCAGATTTCAGTGGAACAGCACACATTTCTGGACGACGCCAACGAAGGCGTCGTTCTGTTCACGCTGGGTAGTCACGTGAAGGAGGTGGAATCTGCGCAGGCTCAGATGTTCGCCAACGGATTGGCCAAGCTGAAGCAGCGCGTCATCTGGCATTTCCCTGGCAGCGTTACGCATTTGCATATCGGGAACAACACGAAGGTTGTACAATGGATGCCACAGCAGGAGATAATGGGTAAGTTCGATGAAACACACTCTATAGCTTGAACCGAAGGTATATGGATGGAGTCAGGAGGCCAAATTTGTTTTTAGGTGACTTTTGTGAGTTGCAGCTTTGTGAGCGAAGAGTAACAAAAGTATGTATTTGCTGTGCAGGCAATTAATTGAAATATGTACGTCACGAATTTTTGTCTACGGGGTGAGTACAAGAACCCAAGGGGCGCCCCTATTTTAAAAAGAATGTCTGCATATAGCGCTTTTTCCAGATCCAGGATATGAAAGCCCAATGAGTTTCTTTTAATGAAACAATTATTGAAATCGCTCATGTACTTTTCCAGTTATGGAATTGTGTTCATTAACACCGTTTATATAAGCTTGTCCACGGATCACAATAAAGGTTAGTGATATTTCAGCACAACAACATATATATAAAAAAAAAAATATCAAAAAACACATCAGTGCGGACTCATAACCATGATAACGGGCACCTATCGTGACATTTATTTAAAAAACTAGATGCTGCTTCCAATGTTAAAATAACATGTCCTATAATCTAAAGAGTAATTGTGCCCTGCCTTGTACTTGGCTACACAAGAGACTTATGAGATTATTCTGATATCATTTTCAGGATACGACATGGTTTAATTTTTACTGAAATATCACGTACCTTAAATGTGATCCGTGGAAAAGGTTAAACAAAATGGTGTTTGTCTTCAAAATTCCATAACTGGAATAGTACATGAGCGATATAAATGATTCTTTTACTAACAGAAAGCTTGTTAATATCCTAGATCTGGAAAGTGCTACATGCAGAACTGCTTTTTAAAAAAGGGGCACTAGTTGGGCTTCCTTTTAATATTTGTTTTACTCACCCTGTGTAGTTATTAATATGGAACTTGATGATTTCCTTTTATATGATGAAACTTGTTGTAAGGGTTCTGCAGCTTCAAAGGGTTTTTAGAAAGGGCGTGAATGATTTGTTTATGGTTCCTAAACCGCAGATTTGTTTTAATCGCCAATTTGTATTCGCACCATCATCAAAATTGCACGTGTATAAAGAAAGCACATGTAGAACCATTAAGCGTCCACTGTTGGAAGCACCGCACTCCAGTCCCTCATCTAGACGCTGAACAGGCTTATGAGACTCTTCTTATTGAATGCAGATGCAGATGTAGATGTATGTGGATGTACGTGTAGATGTAGTTTTAGGTGTAGGTGTAGATGTAGGTGTGGATGAAGATGTAGATGTAGATGTAGGACTGGTGTAGATGCAGATATAGATGTAGATGTAGGTGTTGATGTATGTGGATGTAGGTGTAGATGTTGTCTTAGGTGTAGGTGTAGATGTATGTGTAGGTGTAGATGTATAGGTGTGGATGAGGATATATGTGTAGATATAGATGTAGGTGTAGATTTAGATGTAGACCTCGGGACCAGACTTAAGAACGTTTTATTCTTGGACTCTCAGCTCATAGGAACACCAAGGCGCTGTTGAGCCACGGCGGGCTGAACGGCATGTATGAGGCGGCTTGGTACGGCCTCCCCATGGTCGGTATACCCCTCTTCGGTGACCACTTCGACAACATGGAGCAAGCAGTCGCTAAGGGGATGGCTCTGCAGTTGGACATAGCCACGTTGACAGAGGACGCCCTCTACGACACGGTCACCCGCGTCATTGAAGATCCAAGGTATGCGTGTAACTCTAAATGTATCATTTCCTGTGAGCTACCTGGTCCAGAGACACCCGAAAAATAAACCGCGGGTTATGGAGCAGGTTGGTGTTAAGGGCGTCCCTTTTTATATATTGTTTTTATATTCTTTTGCCTTAAGGTCAACCTCGTTCCCATGGGTAAGAGATCTTGCTGCACCATGTTGTTTCCCATCTTGCCTTGCGCGGTCTCAACCCCTGGAATTGTGTGATTGAAATGTATCAAAATATGGCACATTATAATTAGGCTGCAGTTTATCCGTTTTACCTGTCGACGCCATCTTCAAATTTTTAAAGTTGTGATTTTGAAGAATCAATCATTTCAAACTTAAGGTCTTGACGTTGCGTTATTTAGCAATGTATACTGAGTGTGTTACATCCCTTACGAATAGTTAAATGCGGTACCCGCTGCTATGTACATGTACATCAGATTAGAAGCTCGGTGGTCGAGTGGTAAGACGTCTGCACTAGAAAGCAGGAGGTCGTGGGTTCGAGTCCCACCCGAGTGATTTTTTTTTCTCCATCTTTCACTCGGGAGGTAACACACTGAGTACACAGTGTTTATACGTCGGTGAAGGGCAAAACCTATATTGATAAAATTAAAAGTAAACTATAGAATTGCTATACTCCGTTGCTATTGATACGATACGCCGTGCTTCGCGAATTACAGCTTTCAAATTACACAGAGCCTGCAGTATTGCAATAATTGTGTTTTTGTCTCCCCTTCGTTCAATGTAATTTTTAATTTTCTTTTCAGACGAGTTCACGGTATTTTTTGGGGGGGGGGGGGGGGGGGGCTTGAGGGGGGCTGGAGCCCAAAATAGGGGCGGTCAGAAATTACAATCAAACAATTAGAAAGGGATGCCCTAAAGCGCCCTCAAATGGATAACTTGTGAGCAACGACTTCCACGAAGAGACTGTTTTCGCCTCGTCCCAATCCCATCAGATATTACCGAAATCGTTGTTTTTTTGTAAACATTTGGCGCCATGTCGTATGGGTTGTCACAAGAGCAACAGATTCCCCCCCCAAAAAAAAAAAAATAATAATAATAATAAAAAAATGCATATTAACACGCTTATTTAAAAAAAAGAGGCAGTTTTATTAAGTATTTGGTATCATTTGGACATTCTATATTTTAAACAATCGAAATATGTCTCATGAATAACGTTTTATGCGACGTTGGCCTTCCATAGTTTTCCAACCCGTAGTTGGCAACGGGTTGGCAACGAAAGGTCCATTGGCTGTATTGAAAAAGCGCAAGTAATCGCGAGCGCTAATGCGTGAAATTTTGCTCATTGCAATTTTTCAACTTACACTGTGTACAATTACTATTGTCTTGATTCGCATGTGAGGGACGCGCCCGAGCGGTGAGCGCACGTTGGCAGTGACATTCACATGTTCCTTACTATATGCTATGTCTTTCAAAATGTAATGGCTTTGTTGCAAACGGAGTTCACAGTTCCTAAAGATTACCGCTTTTTGACTTATGACTATAGATATCGCGAGAGGGCGCAACACATCTCACGTCTGCTCCGCGACGATCCAGTCATCCCGTCCGAGAAGGCAGCCCACTGGATCGCCCACGTGGGCAAGTACGGCGGGGAGCACTTGCGCCCTCGTGCGGCCGACCTCAGCTGGATCCAGTACCATCTGCTGGACGTGTACGTCTCCCTGGCCGCCATTTTGTTCGGCGTGCTTGGTGTGTTGCTACTAGGCTGCAAGGGTATTCTATGGCTGGCGTGCCACAACCGTAGGCAACAGAAGACAAAAATTAACTAGAGGAATTAATGCATCTAGAACGATTCACAGCTACTAAATTGACGCACATCGGAATAGAATTGTCTTATATGGCGATTGGGAGATAATGACAGTTTGTAATTCTAATTAAAATGAAGTACGGAGGAATTAGCTGTTGTGTGTGGTTTTCGTTTTTGTTATATGTTTTGTTTGGCAACGCTGAGTGTTTAAAAAAAACAAATATTTATGATTCATGTAAAAATTATAGTTATCATGAATCCAACTGTGCAGATAGTTTTCTTAGTTGTAATTAAGTTTTTAGAATGTATTGAGAATACTTTATATTTAACGAAACTAAATGAATCTCCCACATCTTAACGGTAGAGGTCCGTAATGGGTAGTCCGCGAGTGGGGTTCACATCCCTTACCGTAGAAACAAAGTTTCCCTGTCTTTTTTCTTGTTATAAAAAGTCTTTTTGTGTTCTAACTGCATGCCTTTTGACTCTTTCCTTTGTGTGTAAAACGCTATTTAATATCAAATGCTATAATAACCAAAGTCTTGTTTGCATTACTAAATTGTGAGAAAAAAAATAATTGTGAAATCCTTAATTGTTTCAATTTGAAGAAATCGTGTATACCTATAACTATTAAAATTGTTTACATTTACTGTTGGGAAGAAAATCTGATATTGTGCTAAATCTCAATGCAATTATTTCGTGGATGCCTCATTTCTTGGCACGTATACTTCTGGTTTATCTGGTCGTCGGAATCAAGTGAGTGATATCTGACAAAGTTTTCCCTAACACTAGTCTCGCATTCTTTATACTATGGATGGCCTTCTTTCAAAAGTGCGGGTCTGTACGAATACGTCGCTGTTATTGTAAGTGAGCAATTAAAAACACTACAACTTCAAAGACAAACACAACCTGTGTTATTGAATTGATCCCTACAAAAGCCTTGAAATAACTGATGTTACTGTATGAGTGACATGTTTCTCCTAGACTTGAGGCCAAGTCTGACGGTTGTGATTTGTCTATTGCCGCCCGCAATATCAATACGAGCACGGCACAGTGTATCGTGTTAAAATTATCATTTGTTGGCTTCGACATGCCTAGTGACTTGAGTAATATGATTTCGGACGGATATTCGTTTATGCGCCCGGCCGCTGCGTGTGCATGTGCACCGTTTAGGAAGCCTCCATTCGGGGGATGTCGTTTTCTTGATCGGTTTACGTTTAACAATTGTTGACTGCTGTGATGTGGGATATGACGTTTTGAACACCCGAGGGGTGCTATGCGCTCCTAGGGACGCAGCTGCAGTCCACAATTGTTTTGTAAGTTATACCTCTGTCTTGGATTCTTTGGATTTTGATGAAAAAATCTGGAAAACAAACAGCAGTTAACACAACAATATTAATCATGACAATCGAACGTCAACTCACAAGCATATGTCGCGCGCTCGAAACAGCTGATCGTCTGCTAGTTCGCTGCTCCGACTCATGTGTGAAAACATGGTGAAAATAGCGTCGGTACCAACGACACAAGCGTTTCACACCGTACGTACCGAACGTACGTGATATCCCACAGGGAGTGTGCCATGACGTTATACAAACTTAACACGTGATCGTTCTATGCCAATGAAAATACAGTAATTGTATTCAAGACAGAGGTATAACAATTCTCTTTCTTTTCGTAACATTTTCATTAGAACATTACACTAAGTGGAATAACCAAAGAAATTCGAAAATATAATAGGCATATATAGGCCATCAGCCTCTGTCCAAATTTTTGGCCACCGGTATCAAATGAGGGGAATAATCGTCATAGCGATTTTAGGGTAGGTAAACACCTCCAGAGTTGGAAAATATGTGATAGTATTGCAGCGGTGGCAGCTTTTTGGGTGTTATCACCTTTTTTTTCAAAATGTCCATCAAAATGTTTGTGACCACTCTAAGGGCGGTATGTCTTACGCATGCGCACTATAATCAGTTATGCCCTGATTTGATACTAGCCAAACCCCCAGGCTGATGGCCTAATATCAAATTATTGTTTTCCGAGTAACAAAAAATAATGGTGGAATACAAAACGGCCCAGCATTAGAATTTAACCCCTCGAGGAATGTGATTCGCTCCACGTAGTATTTTACTGTGTACCGTGCACATGGAAAACCGCTTATGTATAAATATGAATATTCATATTCTCCTGATTCTTAATCAATCAGACTGCGCAGTACAATTGTGGTAGCAACAGTCATATACGTTTTATACAAAGCCCAGAACAGCTGATTGAAGTCGGTAAACGGAATCAGCCTACACGCCTATTGAGGCCGAGGATGCACGAACCTTCCCCGCACGTAAGTGCCATACCGCACGCTACTCGTATACCCTGAGACGGAAGGCGAATCTGTCCACGCCGGTGCGGCCAATTACCCGGCGACTTGATTTTCTAGCCTATGTTTCTCCTCATGGGATGACTGCCATGAAAAGTTGAGTGTTTTTTTAAGAGTCCTACTTTATGGCGCGTTGTGGTACATAAATAATGTCAAGGGAAAGGTTAAGTTGAAACAAGAACAATAACAACAATCTAAGAAACTCGACAAATAAACGGTCATCATTAATTCCACATCGTGTCGTTCTGAACATTCCGGTTGTTGTGGGAGCTGCGGGCTTATATCGGGACTTCGTTTTCTCGTGCTTTTGTTTGTTGTTGCAAAATCATCATGAAATGGAATTATCAATGGTGACCAGAGCACAGCGACCAAAACGTTGGGTTAAAGGCAGAGTATATAATTTGTGGGTTTTTTTTCGTTTGAAATGATGCAACAGAAGTGTTCAACATTTAACGAAGGGTACTTAACAATTAACATGGTGAAGAGTTAGCTCTGTGAATGTTTTATATTCTGGCCGAGAAAACCATATTCTAGGATCTCGATTTCAATTCAAAAATTGTCAAGTCATGTTTTGAACTGCGCCCGAAATGAACGTCGGGGACACGTTCTCATTCAGCTGATTGCATATACGCGATGTCACGCGCTGATACGACGAATTATAGCAACCGCGCGCGCGTGTGCGTCTTCTCAACGCTTGCGGCGCCCATTCACGGCTTCGCCGAATTTAAAACGAACTGCTAAAGGAAATTTCCAAAAATGCATCTTTAGACGCATATTTGGAAATGACCTTCTTTTATTGTTTACTTCAAAGTGACAGCATGCAAGAAAGAATAATCGCACCGGGAGTAAAGTGCCATTATTATTTTTTAAACCAAGTAAGCTTTTTAACAATACTTCCGTCAGTTATTGTTTGGATAGCTTCAAATGATACCCTTCCTGGAACACCCTTCGCTCATCTGAGAATCATAATCTCTTTCACTTCTAGCCACATGTACAATCCTTCACCCTTTTTGATCTTGAAATGTTAGGATGATTTGATACCAAAAAAACAGTGTACAATTAATAAGGGAATTAAATGTGTGCTTGTCCGGTTTTAAACACTTTTATTTTTAGGACCGGTTTGGAGTCTGGAAGCTGATAATGACCCGCGCCGCGACAACACATTTCGGTCCAAAAGTCAAAACAATGCCAAAATTAAAATTTTCCAACGATTTTGTTGAACAGTTTTACTTCATGTTTTTTTTTTCCAAACACCCCTCTAGCTATGTTATGGTATATCCCTCTCGCGAGTAGTCGTAAACTTCTCCTTATAAGGAGGCTAGAATGCGCGTGGCGCGTACTGCGTGATGTGGCGCAGAACGCATCGTTGCCGGTGTAGTGCAACCTCGTCCCCAGTACTTATTTTATTTCCAACTTCGTTTCCAATAGTTAGCCCTGGATAGGAAACTTTCTTCCTGTATCCTGATTCGATACCGCAATTTGCTAGTAAAGGATTTATATCGTGTAGTTAGTGTTTTTATTTCGAACGTGCATTACGTGTTTTCACGTTGTAATTTTAACGTCCAGGCCTTCAGTTTTAGTCATTTCTTGTAACATTTTTTACAGATTGTAACATTTTAACTTCCGAAAAAAAATCGTGTTTTCATAACTCACGGCGCCACGAATTGATGCTGTTTTACCCAGACACCGCTTACAAAAACAAACGCTCAGGTAACGCACAGGCAGGCACCAGACTATCCATTTGCACACGTGTTTAAAAATCTTGCACTTACAAATGATCCAATACCAGGGTGAGAGAGCAGGTAGTGGTGGGCGCGTACTGCTCGACACCCTGGGGACGAGGTTGATTGTAGTGTAAATTTAGGACTCTCGAAATACGGACTCATAGTCTGGTTCCCCGACCCCATTGTCCTTTGCACTTCGAAAATTGGTCCGGTAACTAGCGGTGAATCTGGCAAACATTCGGGTAATGTATGTTAACTATATGCATAATAAGGTACGTACGTAGGTCTGGAACCCGCCTTGCCTCGTGAATTCTGAATCACAATGGTAATGTCTGCGCGCGCAGAGCAAGCCTGTTGCAAAATTGGCAATACGCCTGGCCACGAATGTGCACTTTTGGAGGTAATGAGCTTCCATTTTGGCTGAATTTGAACGTTTCTCTCGCGAATGTCAATAACGAGAGAAATATTGCTGTTCAATATTTACAACCTATGCAGTTGAAATGCTTGTAAGTTGCTTTCATTGAGACACTGGTGATTTTGTGATCTTCTTGTGATGAGACAAGCGGGAGTTTCTTGATGATCGTGAGTACAATATCCGGCGTCCATGGGCGAAAAACAGTGATTCAAAAATGAACAGTCGCAATGCGCGCGCGCAGAAGCGATCCAATCAAAGGCTTTAAATTACCGCTATTTACCCGTCCCCATATATTTAGGGTAGGGTAGGGTGGGGTGGGGGGGGACACAGTCTAACGGACTCATTTGTAGTATTGCACATATGCCTGTAACATAGCTGAAGATTGCGAATGTTTTACCAATAAAAAGGTCAAAGGGACCATACATCATAGAAGTCAAAATGTGACACCAGAAAAGTGTTTAGATCACACCAACCAACGGTTTGTTTTATCAACCGTTTACGACTGGTCACGTGACGGGCTCTCGACCAATAGAATTGGGTAAACTGTCTGAGGTATTCCTGAATGAAAAAAGAATCTAGCTTCCATAAGAAAGTGCACACGTTAACAAAGCATGACGTCAATATATTTGAGATGTAATCTATTCATTTGATGAAGAATGGCTGTTTTTTAAGGTTTATTCAGGTACACAAGCGACAGTTAGTGCGTCAGTCAGTGATGAGACAGTCAGTCAGTCGGTCAGGTATAAAGACGACACTTTTACAAGGTTCGGAATTAGCGGTAGCCCGCTAGCCAAATGCTCGTCAAAACAGCGGCGGGCTAGTCAAACTACTCCTTACTTAGACCGGCTGGCGAGTGAAAAATGATTGGGATGAGGCAAAGATGCACGTACAGGAAGAAATAAATCATTAAACTCAGAAAGAAAACCCCATCAATTTGTGTCTAATTTTATCAACTGTTTTAAAGGGTTAAATTATCAGATCTGTTAATCAAAAACCCTGACAAAATTGCCTCAGAATTAAGCCTGAAAATACGCCATTTTGTATTTGAGATAAGAAAAAAATACGGGCTAGTGAAAATGCCCACGGGCTAGTTGAGAGTCCGTTTCAGTAGCCCGGCTGGCTAGTGAACAAAAAGAAATTAAGGTCAAACCCTGCCCTA